GAGTGAACTCATTGTGATAGGCTATCTCGCGGCAGATGCCGTAGTCTTTAATCTTCGTTCAGATGAGTAAACGGTATATACTTTGTTTTTGGAGTTATACTTCTTTAGGGGCGTTATGAAAAAATTATGAGAGTGAAATTTTTGGATGCGTGCACATCACTGTAACACAAAAGTAACACCATGAAGTTGGCCGCTCAACTGCACAGCGCGTTATAAAAAAATGATGAAAATGCCAACAAAATAGAAATAGAATCTCTATTAGTCGCGCATGTTGGCACGCTCGTCGCTTCTGAACCCTTAGTACGAGTTTGAGCTCACGGAAACTATCATAGTTTTCGTAATTGTTAATTATGTTTCTATGTCCATTTTGGTGAAAAGTAAACAAATATACTTAAAATTTAAGAAGACGCAAATGATTTAATGATAGAATTTAAACACTGTTTATTTGTATTGAAACGAAAACAATAAAATCAGTACCCTTAGTATGAGTGCGAGCTTACGAAAACTATCATAGTTTTCGTAATTGTAAAACTCATACTAAGGGTACTGATTTTATTGTTTTCGTTTCAATACAAACAAACAGTGTTTAAATTCTATCATTAAATCATTTGCGTCTTCTTAAATTTTAAGTATATTTGGTTACTTTTCACCAAAATGGACATAGAAACATAATTTACAATAGGGGTGATGACGGGGTACATACGGATCACTGTTTTCATATTTATAATAATTATCCACATGTTTCTATATTCACAACACGTGTTTTAGTTTCATACAAGTGCGAATTATAAATGTGCTAATAAATTATATTCAGCAGTGATTTAAATCGAATATTATGATTATTTATTTCATTTTTCAAATTAAAACTGAACTTTATTGACAACACAGTCACTATCATTTTCCAGTCCTTTTATCATATTATTGTAATTAATTATTTGCATGCAATTAAAAACTAATTTTTAATGATGCCAAAGAAGTATAACTTCTCACGCGCGTACATTTTTTATGGTGAATACGTATCTATCTTCACATGAAAACGTTTTGTCACTATAAGCTTTTGAACTATATTTTACTGAAACAAGACATCATTTTATTTTTAATAACAAGTAGAACTGCATTCACAGTTTTTAAAAAACGCCAGCTAAATCCGTAAATCAAATTCGTGAAATGTGAAACAAAAAAACACATATATTTTATGATTACCGTCGAAAGGGTAAATCATTGGGATTATTTTTTCCTAAATAACAAAGCATTTTAAATGTGACCCTCGTAACGCTCGTAACGTTTCAGCCTTCGCCGAGTTACCCTCCAGCTTTAATGCTCGACGGGAAGATCTGCGCACGCATCCCGCACATACACACTTAATTATATATAAACTAGCTGACCCAGCGAACTTCGTACCGCCCTAAAAAAATAGGGGTTGTCCAGCGGACAAAATTGTGAATCTAAACCATTCTCAGATCCCCTTGAACACACACAAAAAATTTCATCAAAATCGGTCCAGTCGTTTAAGAGAAGTTCAGTGACATACACACTCACAGAAGAATTATATATATAAAGATAGTAACGCTAGTGACGCATATCCGTTTCGTCTTTTCCATAGTTTTTTTCCATTTACACCCCGTCGAGCTCGATGGCGCAAGTGGTTAGCGCGTTCGGCTGCGACCGTTGAAGTTAAGCAACTTTCGCAGTGGTCGGTCATTAGATGGGTGACCAAATATTTACTATCTCGAGTTCCTCCGTGCTTCGGGGCACGTTAAGCCGTTGGTCCCGGCTGCATCTGCAGTCGTTAGCACCCGCCAATCCGCACTGGGCCCGCGTGGTGGGTTATGGCCCAATCTTCAATTCCCCCAGAAAGGCCTGTGCCCCAGCAGTGGGGACATTAATAGGCTGATGATGATGACACCCCGTCCGAGAAGAAAATTCTCTTCAAAAACTCGCTGGCGATATTCCACACAGATTCGAGTGCTATCAATCAGGTGGAGGCATTATCGTAAACGACTCAATCAATCATTACGCGACCGCGAGTGCTCGTGTTCAAGTCGCCAGTTGAGAGAGCACGTGCTAAAACAAGCGGATGCCACGTATCAGGCGATCGGGGACAATCACACCTCGCGACGCCCGCCCTCTCAACGGAGGGCGCGTGCCGAATCGCACCGTGGCATACACTAAACAACCCTCGAGAGGCTAATTGACGCACGTGTCTCTATTGTCGCGTCATAGACAATATTTTTTGTCGTTATCCCAATTTGAATGTCAGCATTCCTCGTCCCTTCCGTGTCACCATTGCGGACTACGTTTATCTATCAAAGATGAAGTTAATGTAATGACATAGGCACTTATTCTTATCTTACGTAGATGTCTAGACTTTTATATAGGCTGAAGAAAAGCTGGGCGAAAAAAGAAGTATTACTTTTCAGTACGAAAACTCTTTTTCAATAGAAGTACTTTGTAGGTCATTTACCGATCTCTTTAGTATAATTTTTAGAGTCTGTGCGGAAAGAGAATGGGCGTGGCGAAAAACGGAACTAACATTAAGATTTTTATTTGGCAATCAAACCCAGCAATCTGTAAAACGTCAAAGTTTTGTATTGATACGGATTTGTTTGGCTATAATTTATGGTTTGTTGTTCTGAAGATGAAAGAACAATAGAGGCCATAATATACAACTTCAGTCTGAGGACTGTCGCGAGTGAACGCTTTTTTTTCGTGACCAATGAACAACAAGCCGGTTGATTTACTTTTAGTATCGACCAATTTATTGGTCCATGCCTTTGGGATACTTTTTTTATGTTCAAAGGGTGACAACACCTGGTCGTAAAGGGTCACCATAGACTATAACCGCTTGCGATACAAAATACCCTACTCCGTGGAGCCCTGGAACCTAACTCATCAAATAAGCTTCTGTGAGGTAGTCAATACTACAATAAAATTCTCACGTCCACTTGACCGGAATAGCGTATATTTTAAAGATTCCACTAATTCTTCAGTTGCGCAGACGGTTGTAACACAAAATCACACCAATTTTATTTCACAATATTCACTATGAACAAATTTAAGAATAATTAAAATAAGACGCCAACCGCACTCGATTAAAACCCCGCCAAAAACTCCTGTCAAATTCCATAGTAAGTAATTTGACAATTGAGCGTAATAAAAACGTGTTTTATAACTAAGTAGGTAAGTTATTATTGATAGTCTTTAATTTTCTATAATAAAATTAGGATTTTACTTATACTTGTAATTAATAAATATTAAAAAAATAAGATGTATTGTAGTAATTAAAAAATCGTTGAACATGGGGGGGGGGGGGGGGGGCAAAAGTTTTTTTTTTACTGTGTCTTCTGTGAGGTGGAGGGTTCTTACCCACTGCGGCGCTACAAATCGTTATACCTCTCTTATAATAATATCGCGAATTTATTGTACTAAATCGTAATGATTCGTTTCAATTTTCAAAAATAACTTGTAATTATATTTTTCACAACAATTGTAATTTCTATATCATACGTTACATTTATCTAAACTCGAAATCGGTGTATAATTTTATTACCTTTGTTGCTGGTTTACCCGTCTTATCATATGGGAATATATCACTACAAACATAATACAGTATCAATAGAAACACATAATATTGTTAAGATGAATGTTAGCTCTTTTTCTCATCGTCATTAATAAAACATATTTTTAATACCATTAGCGACATCTAGCGATGAATATTTTAACGATAAAAAGAATAGCGACATCTGTTGTCGAGTAGACAAACTAAGCAGATTTGAATAAAAAAAACAAAAGAATTTATTTTTCAAAGGCACAGCACTTTTCCTATTATTATTTCTAAACTATTTTCATCGTATTCTTTAAGGAATTATAATAAACGCTAAACTTTAATGTACTGTAACCTTTTTTTTTTCACGATATATATATATGTATCTTCGTATGTGGACTTCCTCACCTTATACTATTGATCTGCTTATAATTTAATTACTGATAGGTGTTTACTTTTTTTTTGTGAACCTTAAGACATTTTACCATCACAAGCGTTTTAATGAGATCGAAACGTATAAACTCGCCAAGGCGTCTCTGTCATACGAAACCAATTTCTTTTTCAACGAACCCTGTAATATTTTCTTCCAAGTATTACCCACGAGTCAGCAAACAAGCAACCCGATCACTGGTAATCTGCAAAAATAAGCAAATTGCCTCCCCAATTGTGAGGGGTCAGCCAATATAAACAGAACTTTGACATCAAACACTCTTTGGGTAGCGCGGTTCCTCATTAAAACGGTCACAAGTTACAGTTCAAGTTACGTGTTACGACCGACAGAGCGAGCCAGCAAACATATTTGACGCTGATAATTGTCACATGAAACTTGGGGTCTCCATTTACGAGATCCTCTTGGTGGTTTTTATTTATAGGACAGCCGTATGCGTTAGAATCATACATTTATTATACCTAAATGTAATAAATCGATGTTGGAGTCGAACGGAGTGTTTCTTTTGATTGTAGGAATAATTTTCTTTAGTGTTGTCTAAATTCATCGTATTGGTATTGTTATAAAATACAGATAATTAGTTATCTGGATCCAAATCCGGATGAAAGGTAACCCTGTACCAACCACTATTCACGCTTATGATACCAGAATATCAATTAAATTTTCTCCTATGTACTGATACTAGTAGATAGATAGAGATAGATACAATTCACTGTAATCTTGTTCTACACCTTTGGTCATTGAAATTATTAGTATCGTTATGAACCAATAAGTTACCTATAATGCGAAGAGATGGCGCTGATAGAGATAATTCGATACGGCCATCAGGGCCGCTGTAGCATAATGGTCAGTGCATTCGCTCGGATAGCGAAGGGTGCGGGTTCGAGGAGGAATAATAGATATATGCTTTAAATATATATAGCAATAAGTTTTTAATCTTGATTCATAAACTACCTAAGTAGGTAGTCTAATCTAAGTAGATTTTTATGTCAATAAATTTTTGACGTTGAACAGTGCGTCAGCGCGTCACTGTCACCGCGTTAATTATCAAATCCTATTAACATATTGAATAAAATCGTGATAAATTCGTGCTAAAAGTAACAATGAACGTTCACAAGCTCTGGGAGTACAGGGAATATGTCAACGTGAATGGAATGATGCTGACCAGTGAGCTGATCTCCCTCCTACAGAACTCCTTAACACTGCTGCAAATCGAGAACCATTTCACGCACGTCCAATACTGGGGGCAGCTGTACGCAATAGACGCTGACTACCATATCGCAGTAGGTATCACGAATGACGCCATCACAGATCGAAAATATTTCTACACCACCGACTTCAAGTTTTGGGGCCTACTGCCCAAACCGAAGAGGAAGTACAAGCTCCTGTCACTCATCACCACTTTCCCGTTCCGAGGTGATCCATCCCTCAAGATCAAAGTTCTAGACGAATCTTTAGAAGAGAACCATCCGGAACGGTGTACCCTCATGAAAGAAGAAAACCGCTTAGCGGCTACGATCAGCAACATTTCTGATGAAGCTGAGATCTGCGCAAGGGGGCAGCTGATTCAACAGCCGGACGGCTGCGTGGTCATCAACCCCAACTACTATGGACTGACAGCTCCAGAAGCAAAGCTCCTAAAGTCTTATTTGCACATCAGGCAGCCGCAGCAACGTTGGAATACAAATCTGTTGACTCGACAGGACTACAACTACAGCATGGATATCCTCGACTCCATTGACCAGGACATACCGAGCGGTTGCTGGAGTTTATCCATGGAAAAGAGCGGCAGCGTGGCCTATCTGAGGAGCTTGTACTGGCCTGGGATGACCTTCTTCCATAAAGTGAGGACTCCCGACGCTGGTTTTCTATACGTCGGTAGTGGTAGAAAAAATATGGATGTTCCTTTTCTTCTTTAATTATTTTGTTTATTGAATTAAAATAATTTGATTTTATTATTTTACACATATTATTTATATACTGGCTGCCGTTGTAGAACCATTAGCAGACCATACAGTTTTTATTACTGTAAACTAGGGATTGCCCGCGACTTTTTATGCAAGAAATAAATAGATTATCGTACAATGCACACTTCTTCGTTTACAAAAAACAAACAAAATGTATCCTATTTGCTTTCGTAATCCCTACAAACCTTTATTAAATAAATAAAGATACAAATCACTGGTGTCGATTCTGGCGTGACTCTAAACTGATGTTAAATTTAGTTTTTATTTTAGAAAATCACACCAGAATCGACACCAACTTCGTACTTAATTTAGCGTTGGAATGTCCTGTGAGGCCCAAGCATGAACTTTAACAGCTCCGTAATCGTCAGTTTCTTTATAACTAAGCAGCGCAAGTATGAACATACTGCTGGCTGCTTCCATACCGTATACCACAAAAAGACCATGACGATACGATTACGGATCTCTCTAGGTACCCTTCTCATTAATTTTACGCTCACTCCTATGATGAATTCATTAAATATCAAAAAGTATTTTTAAAGCCACATTTTAGAGACAAATAAAATAAATAAATAAGTAATTAGAGAAATAAATTAGGTAGCATTTTATGACATTTTGTAAGTTGGTTTGCTGTAAGAACGGGACAAAGAGCCTCATTTGTGACCATCTCACTGTTCCCGGGTTTAGTTTCTATTCATCTAACAACGTAAATTGTACTATATTATATGAAAATACCGGACTGATTTTCGAGAATGTGATTTTTAATAGTTTACGGTTCCTATAGAATTATTTTTTTAGAAAGTCCAATAGAAAAAGTAAAATTATAAAATGAAGAAAATTATAAACTTAGAACTATTCTGTAATGGTTCAGGGTCAAAACGGCATGTTTAATACCAGCCTTAATTAAATCGCGCCAAAAACTAACCACAGAATATAATGAATAGCTAAGTTTTTTAATCTATGGCTAGCTGTGTGTGTGTGCGTCAAGAAGGTATTTAATGTACTCTATGGGGTTTTTTTTTGGCGGGATTTCATCGAGTGCGGTTGGCGTCTTATTTTAATTATTCTTAAATTCGTTCATAGTGGATATTGTGAAATAAAATTGGTGTGGTTTTATGTAACAACCGTCTGCGTAACTGAAGAATTAGTGGAATCGTTAAAATATACGCTATTCCGGTCAAGTAGACGTGAGAATTTTATTGTAGTGTTGACTACCTCACAGAAGCTTATCGAAAAAGCCTACTCGATACATTTCGTGCCAAACACTCCAAGAAACATTAGAATGCGTCACACCGACATTCTAATGTAAAAACAAAAAGAAGATTAACTTAATTAAAGACTAGGCTGTATGGGCATTGTTCCCTTTGCCTTCCCTAAAACGGGAGAACTTCAACAAAAAAAAAATGTACTCTATGGTCAAGAAGCTTATATGTGTGCGTTAGCCATTGTCGTCACTGAAATTGTGTCCGTTCCGTTTATTCTTCACCCGGCATTTCGATTTTATTAATACTTATCTAATAAAGTGTAAGAATCAATAGTTTGCATTCCTTCGAGCGCAATATTAAAATGTCTACTAACGGCATTAATAGCGCCGAAGATGTCGATACAAGCGAATGTGACGGAGAAAAAGTTGTCACAATGATGGACGTGTTGCAAGAACAAGAGGAGTTCGAGGAAGACGCTAATGCTGTCCTAGGAGCCTCCGACGACAAGAACTGCACCTATACTAAGGTAAAGCATAATTGCTTTTGTGTTCAACCACGAAAAGCTTGGTCAAAATGGCTGGCAAAAGTGACGATTGTGAACGACCAAAATGTCACTTTTCTGTTGCCATTGCAACATTTTCTATTTTAGATTACAAGTGGCAATAGCGAAAATAAACATATAATTATGTGGATGTATGGAAGAACTGCTTATTTAAGATTGCACATAGAATTTGGTGATCCATAATGCACTATTCCTATTGTAATTTGCACCATCAGGTATATTAAACTGGTTATAATAGATTACACACAACATACATTCGAATTCTATAAATGATGGTGTAAAACAAAAGTTCAACTAAATCTAATTATAGCTGACACATGATCCAAGCCAATTTTAAACACTGAAGTCATTGTCATTCTAATGCCATCTGATTTAAATCAAAGTTAACAATATTCCTTAATACTGCCTTCACAACTATTTCCCAAACATACTACTTTTGAATATAGAAATAAAATGCCTTTAGATATTCTATTTACCACCTTATAAAAAAATCATTGAAGCTTACCACTTATGTACTAACATATTGTTTTTTTTTACCTAATTTGTAAATACTCAAGTCTGACAGCCTTATATTAACATTGTAACATACAAGGTAACAGTCACCCATTTTTGAAGTTATACTTCTTTAGGCGCGTTATGAAAAAATGATGAGAGTGAAATTTTAAGATGCGCGCGTATCACTCTAACACAAAATTTTAACAGCATGAAGTTGCTTTTGTGTTTACCGCACATTTAGAAAATCTACCAACAAAATAGAAATAGAATCTCTATTTAGTGGGTGCTAACGACTGCATTGTGAAGGCCTATCAAAAGTATTTATTAATTTGGAACAACGGAACCAAAGCGCGATTCAGGAGACTACAGCACCATCTCTTGAGCATTGGTGTAGTAGAACCAAAAACCACATTTATTTTTTAATGTTACTTTTATGTTATTATTGTAATAAAGTAACAGTTATAGGTATTCATATTTATAATATTTATCCACATGTTTCTAGTTTGTATATTCGGAATACGTGTTTGAGTTTCATACAAGTGCAAATCACATATGTTCTAATAAATTATATTCAGTAGCGATTTTAATTGAATATTTTGATTATTTATTTATTTTTTCAAATTAAAACTGAACTTTATTGACTGTGTCCTTTTCCAGACTTTTTATTAATTTATTGTAATAATTATTTGCATGCAATTAAAAACTAATTTTAAACGATGTCAAAGAAGGATAACTTCTCACGCGCCTACATAAGTACACGCACCCATTTTTTTTTGTTATCAAAACTGCGTTTTCCTCTCAATATTTGTAGAATTTCCTATATGCATCTTTGTTCTATTACTCCTACTTGAATTTTGTTGACTACCATCAACGAAACTCAAGTCAAGATTCTTGTTTTCCCAAATATTTGTATACCTGCTACTGCGATATAGTTTTTGTAATTCTCTATCTAATTACATAACTCTATATATAAATTCTAGAACAATAAAACTAAAACTAAAAACCTTAAAAAATAAAATTAATTACTAAAATATATTATTAAAAGGAGTCCCTTTAGGCAAGGATCCGAAGATACTGGCAGTGTTACCCCTTTGAATGGCTAGACTAATTCTTTGTAATTGGTCATGATTTTAGTTTTTTTTTACTATTCATTTTTGGATCTACTTTGGAAAAACACACAGGACATAAAAGATTAACATAAAGCTAAGATAACTTGTTAAACAATTGTTTCACACCAATTACTATTCAAATAATTTTTGTATATGTTGTTTTCTTAGATGTCTTTTTAATGGTTTTCGGCAATGTTCAGTGTATGTGATCAAAATGACTTATCTAGGTTTGTCCAGTGAGGAAGTCCTCACAGACAAGTGTCTGTCGTTAAAAGTTTGTCAAATATTCTTTTAGATATAATAATTAAAGAATTCCTTTGTTTTAGGGTTACATCAAACGGCAAGCCATCTATGCTTGCCTTACTTGCTGTGATGAAGCAAGAAGTGATCCATCAAAGAGAGCAGGGGTGTGCCTTGCTTGTAGTCTCACTTGCCATGAGAATCATGAGCTGATTGAACTCTACACAAAGAGGAACTTTCGTTGCGACTGTGGAAATCCTAAATTCAATTCTAATCCCTGCCAGTTCGTGTCTAGCAAAACAGAACTGAATGAAGACAACAAATACAATCAAAATTTCAGTGGCTTGTATTGCACTTGCCACAGACCATACCCTGACCCTGAGAATCCAATTGACGATGAAATGATCCAGTGCATTGTTTGTGAAGACTGGCTTCATTCCGCTCACTTGGAAGCTGTCGTACCTACTAATGAACAATATGCTGAAATGATTTGTAAGGAATGCATGGACAAAAATGATTTTTTACATGATTATAGTGATTTGGCAGTCAACACTGAGTCAACCGAGGTTGATATTGTAACTAGTAATGGCACTGGTGTCACTACAACTGATATTAATACTGAATCTAATAGATCTGAAAATCAGGTATTATTGAATGGTACCACAGAATCTTCAGAAACAAATAATGATAAGGAAAATAAGGAAGAAATGGATGTTGATTCATCAATTAAAGAAACAACAGAAGATAAAATGGTTAGTGAAAATGCATCTGTAAAAGAAAGCAATGCAGAAGTGAATGAGGAAAATGTTAATGAAAAAGAAGAAGAAAGTTCTGATAGAACTCAAGAGAGCACATATAAACCAAAGGAAACTGGTTTGGAAGCTAGTAATATTGATGAAACAATGACTTCAGGTACAGACAACACTGAAAAACTTGATGAAATTAATACAGGTGCAGATCCAAATTCAACTGAACTACCCAAACCTGACACAGTACAAGCTAGTGATGATAAACTTTCAGGTAATGAATCTATTGACAAAGTATCTGATAATGTTAACAGTGAAAGTAATGAGCCAGAAAGTACTAGTAATACTCTTAATGTGAATTTGAATGAGTCCTCCAATTTAGCTTCAGAATCAGAAAAAGATAATGAACAGTTAGAAGAAGTTACACCTGAAAATGTAACAGAAACTGAGGAGGTTGATAAGAGTAATACAGATTCTGAAAACAAAGAACTTGACAGTAAAGAAACAGAAGAGCTGGTATCAAATAACAGTGAAGATGAAAACGGCCATACTAACGATAGTCACACAAACGAAAATATTGAAATGGAAACTTGTGAAAACAAGGCTGAATCACCCGAAAAAGCAGTATTAGATTCTGTAGATGAATCAAAATTAAATTCTGTAGATGAATCAAAATTAGATTCTGTGGAAGAATCAAAATCAGATTCTGTAGAAGAATCAAAATCAGATTCTGTAGAAGAATCAAAATTAGATTCTACTGATGACTCTAAATTAAATTCTGTAGAAGAACCAACATTGGATTCTGTTGATAAGTCAAAAATAAATTCTATCAACGAAACTATAGATGAATCTAATAAAGTTAATGATAATGAAGAAAATATGGAAAGCACTGAACCTACTTCCACTGAGAATGAGGATATTGAAATGAAGGATGACAATGTTTCAGACAAAGTAGAAAACAACTCAATGTCAATGCCTTTAGAAAGTGAAGTTGCCACTCATAAGGAAGATGAGTCTGAATCTGCAGCTGTTGAAAGCATTAATGTGGGTGAAGCAGAATCTTTGTCAACTAAAAATGAAGATGAAATAAAATCTGTTCCCACTGCTCAAAGTGGAACAGAGTCAGTAGTTGATGAAAACGGAACTGGGTCTGCACCAGTAGAAAATGAAGTCACACTAAACACTGGTGATCAGTCCTCAGACAAAATTGACCAAAACCTAGAAGATTCAGAAGTCTTACCAAATATACAAGAAAATAAGAGAAAGCTCTCAACTGAACAGTCTGATACAGAAGCTAACATGCCTAAAAAAGCAAAATTAGAGGAATCTAAACAATGTGTAAAACCCAAACACATAGAGAGAAGATTTAAGGGCGCAACATTTTGGCCATCTAACTTCCGCCAAAAGCTATGCACTTGTAATGAATGCATATCTATGTACAAAGATCTTTCAGTGTTGTTTTTAATTGACCCAGAGGATACAGTCACTGCTTATGAAACATTAGGTAAAGAAAAGATCAATGGGACTCCTGCATCTCAATATGAGAAAGGACTTGAAGCATTATCGTCATTGGATAGGATACAACAAATAAATGCCTTGACTGAATACAACAAAATGAGAGACAAATTGTTAGATTTCCTGAAGAGTTTCAAAGATCGTAAAGAAGTTGTGAAAGAAGAAGACATAAAAGCATTCTTTGCAGGAATGAAACCCAAACGGGAACCAGACGGCGTATATTTCTGCCGATAACTTTTATATTATAAGGACGTTTTATATTATTCAGTTACTGACTGCATTCCCTTTTTTATTGATTAATGACCTTCTGTTTGAAGTACTACAATTAATATTAGTGTCTCATTAAAATGTTTTCATTCATACCTACAAACCTGTTTTCAATTTTGTTTTAAAATTTTATGGTAATTTTAACATTAAGGTAAGGGGGCGTCCATAAATTACATGAGATGTTTAAGAGGAGGAGGGGGTCGAGTCAAATCTCATCTAATCTTACGTTGGAGAGAGGGGGGATCTCGGCAAATATCACGCATTTTTTTTTCACAGTAGTATCTTTTAAGTATTCTATTGTTAAATTTTTATTACACTTATAACTCTCAGCAATATTGATTACTAGTCTTAACCAGTCGTAAATAAAAGCACGAAGCATTTTTTTTTCTTTTTACAATAACAATCCAACGCGTTTACGAAAGAAACCCACATTTTGAAAAATCTCACGTGAGATTGGGGGAAGGGGGTTGAATAAAATCTCACGACATCTCACCAGGGGGGAGGGAGGGACAGAAAATCCAAAAAAAAACACCTCACGTAATTTATGGACGCCCCCTAACATAATATTTACGGGATTGTTACCATGTACCTTGTTTTTGGCGAGATTCTGTGAATAGTGACAATGTGAACAATGGTACGGGTAGCGAACGCAATAAATCTCCGTCGGAGGGTACACCGATATGTCTGCCAATAACAGCCTACCCGCAATTACTTCAGTTACTCCGTGATCATGGCGTTTGCAACAGTGCTGAAATATCGGAAACTCGCTAAAAAAATCACTATGCTGCTTTATTTCACCCCCTTTGCATTGTCCCATGATGGATTGTGCATAGAGAACTTGATGCGCAGGACATATTGCAACTGAATCTAAATGAAACCATAGTTATTATAACTACTCTTCGAGGGGGAAGACGAGGTCGAGCGGTTCCTTCGACCCCCCTCCCCCTCGAAGAGCCTCACTCCCCGCGAGCTACAGAGGCATAGCTGGGCTCAAACGAACCGGAACAAAACTGCCCCGAAGAATGTGCGTTATCATCTGAAATTATCATCCGTAAACTGACTTTACAGACCACAGTTTTTTGACCACACCATTTCACACAAACCTTTTATAGTATAGTAGAAAGTGACTAATTACCAACGAGGGTGTATCATCATCATCATCAGCCTATTAATGTCCCCACTGCTGGGGCACAGGCCTCTTTTTTATTACTAAATTTTGGTTATTTGATACGAACAAAACAATTTTCAGACGGAAATGTGAACGCATTAAATTTTGAGACCGTTTTGAAAATGTTAACAAATTTTACCGATGGGTATCATAGCAATATGTCTGAAAATTGTTGGACATGATAAAATAAGTTGTCCACATGTGCAAAAAATTTATATCAGACAAATTAAGTGTAGCACCTTCTCTATCAGACAACTTTTCGATACTCAGATATCATTTAAAAATCGTATTGAGGCATCTTGAATTTTCTGTTACAAACCAATGAATACGTTGCGACCCTGAATTTATTAGATGATAATTAACAAAGAATTTACCCGAAACCGTAACATTGAAGTTGAAGGACTGAAATAAATCGTCATCGTTCAAAGTACATATAATAGACAAGGGAGATTCTTGAATATCTATGAAGGCTGTAAATTTAAAAACACATTTAACAGAGGCGTCGGCCAGGCGACTCCGAAACGTTATTTTCGTTTATGGGAGTATATGCTACACTTAAAGTGTCTGAAAACAGGTTTTTGGTAATCATGGCAGTAATACGAAAAGTTGAAAAAAAAAATTATCCGTATTGCTATGATACAGGTCGGCTAAATTTGTTGACATTTTCAAAAATGCGCTCAGGTATATGCTACGCGCAAAATGTCTGAAAACAAACTTTTTCGTAATACAATTATAAAATCTATGTACATTTTCACTATCAGACGTATTGCTATAATACCGACTGTCTTTTTTTTTTGACACAGCAGAAATGGCCTCCCACGCAGTTGCTACACTTTCGACCGTTACTACACACCTAGTCGGGTTCAGAATCATACAATCTAACGATTTTATAGGGTTTTTGCCGTATTGCTATGAGACATGGTTTTGGTGGTGGGCTCTCGTACTATAAACACAGATACAAAAATCTGGTCAAACTGAGAACATATTTTTTTAAGTCTCTTAAAAATGAAAAAGGATTTGTAAGCATATTAATAAGTTTATTGTAATAATACAGCACAGCGTGGTGATCATGCGTACAGTATGTCGTAATGGCCGGGTCGGTACAGCAGGTGTACAAGTGGTTTCGCACCTTCAGGGAAAACGTGAGCGATAACCTGCAAAAAAGGTAAATGCATTAATGAACATAATAATACATTCAGTATGCACTAATAAATATGTCGTAGGATGATTCCATAAGTCGAATTTATAAAAACGCGGGTAGTTAGACAATGTTCGATACTATTTCTTAATCTTACTGATAAATGAAAGGATTTTTACGAAAATGCGAGGCCTCCATAAGATTACGAAAAAAATCTTTGGCTTATATCTCATCGTGATCATGGCGCTTGCAACAGTGCCGAAATATCGTAAGCTCGCTAAAAACAAGGTACATGGTAAAAATCCCGTAAATAACTAATATTACTATAATATCAAATATTACATCTTCTTCTTCTTTACGGTGGATGTTTTCCGCAACTCGACACCAGGTGCCTATTTTGCGTGTGAGAATGGCCTTAGTCGTACCATCCCAAAGATGTAAATTCAAAATTCATCAAATATTACATGCAAAATCTATAACAATCAAGAAGAGATAATTTATCTACTTTAAGATGTGTGGGTTAATTTTAATTCATCAATCTAAGTTTTTTCACATTCCAAAAATCATATGCATTTATTTCAAATTTAGAGATTATGCTATAGTCCTTTCATCTTCGCCTACTTGAGATAAATTTCTGCTAGACAATAATAAAACATCAATAAGTACCTGACTGCCCTCCCCGCGATCCATATATTCTACTTTCACTCCTACATTGAGAGCATTACTGAGTGCTATTATGTGAATATGATCAGACTCCTTGTACATTGGCTCCACTTCCTGTTATAAAAAATAAAAATGTTATTGAAAGACTGTAAAAATTATTTAAGGATTATGTGAGATTATTAATTCATAAAACATTAGATTCTATATAAAGTTAGATTACCTGTCTGCAAAATTCAGTAACTGTACGAGGACCTTCTATAAAGTTTTGGTAAAAATCATGCTGTGTTTGCAGTTGTCCCGATGTCACAAGGCGCAAGTACACCACTATATAGTCGGAGTAACCTTGCTTGTTAAACTTGTCGTGAAGCTCCAGGCGGACTGGCTCTAGGCCTTCAGGTGCACCGCCTGCTTGCTCTCCTACTCGCTGTACCACTTCCATAAACTGAAAAAGCATATTTTTTTATTGTTATATAATTTATCAAACAACATTATAAATGATATCTAAATATTTTGTTATATATGTGGAAAATAACTTTTTGCCACTCTAATCTACAAAGATCTGAAACTATCCTCTCTATTCATTCACAGAGAAGATAGTACTAAGATCATTTATTTGCAATATGTGATTGTGATTTTACCTCGGATGTGCTAACAAATCAGGTAGTAAAACTGTACTTTTTGGGCCTGGGAATTGACACTTCACAATTTTTAGGATTTTGTGCCGAAAGGGTAAAACATGGGAAGTTTGTCACAGGTCTCTACATGATAAAGGGAATGAGTTTCAGAACCAAATTTTAGTATTTTACATAAAAAAATTGCACGAAGCTGAATATTTAGTTAAAATTAAATTAAATTATTTTACACGAAAAGGAGAGAGAAACATATACCTATATGGAGCTACGACATTGCTTAAGATATTGAAACACAGTTCATTACATGTACAGAACCCTAATAGAGCAAGGCTAGTTTTTGCAAAAAGGTCTCTGTTTTGCCGTGGTACACTCGCTTCACTCCCACAGATCATGTGTTAAGGTCAAAACACTAACCTAACCTAGTGTGAAGTGTCATCTCCCAGTTCCAAAAAGTACAGTTTGGTTTGGGGAGCTACACACACAAGCAGACCTTAATCAGCACAGCCGGGTAGATAAATAATTGAATATGTGTAGATGAATGTTTAGCAGTAATTACCGTGGGTCAGCTTTGTTGTTCAACAAATACTGGTGAACTGACTATGCCGGCCCGATTACGTGTGTACCCTTACTTTATACCCGCATAATCATAACACAAAGGAATAAAGAGCTAATAAAATATAACCTGTACAGTATCGCAAACACTTACAGTTTCATAAAAATCTTCCACAGTAAACTGAGAAAACCCTAAGGCTAGAAGAATTTCTTTGGAGTTTTTTGCTATTTCGTAAAACTTTTCGTATTCGTCTTTATTTGTCAGAAGGTGTTCTAAGTACGCGTATGAGAAGGCCCGGAAAAAGCAGTTTCCGTCGGGACGTGTTCTCCTAATGTTTTTATATTTAGAAGATAGATCCTTTACTTTTAACAGATAAACCGGATCCTCATTGTATTCCTTTTCAAGAGAAGCTAAAGGTTCAAGTTCACCAACCAGAGGTATCGTCTCTGATATCTGAAAAATAAACAAAACAAACGTCAGGTGATTTACAAGAAAATGGTGATGAATTATTCCGTAGCATAGAAAAAAAAATGTTGTAAAATATAGCTTACCTCTTTCTCTATTTCACGTTGTTGTTTCATTATCAATTCATCTTGATTTATTGAATTGTCCACTAAATTACCGGCACAACCACTACTGCTTGATGCATCGTCCGCCATTTTCAAATAAAAATTGACAGATCAGATGACGAGACGAGCGACAAATGACAATCGCGAAACCAACGAACTAGCGATGCGTTCACAAATAATTAAATGAGTTGAATACATAGCTGATAAATGTCAAATGTGTTTATTTACGGTAGAGTAAGGTTTTCTGTCATGCAAACCCTTACTCGGATTATGTTACAAAAAGACTTTACAGCGTCACCGGGTTTGGGGACGGCGAGATCCTAAGGGGACCTCAAGCCAAGAATTGGAGAGTGCTTCTGGAGGTATTCCAGTCGGATGGCGTCTCCCCGGGGGGAGTCTCCACTCTGTCTGGAGTCCGGTGCGGTACCACCTCAAAGCATATATATACGAATGGAGAATAGGCGGGCGGAGACCACTCTATAGCTTGCTACATAAATAGTGATCTGTGCCCCTCTACCAAAGTACGTGGCCACTCGGACCATGTGCGATAAAACTAGTTCATGCGCGACCGCTACCAAAGTGAATTTAACCTACATTCCACTATTTCCATAATAGGCTAGTTGACTCATATCGAATTGTATTAAATAAATGTTTATTTCTTACAGTATTTGGTCTAAGGAACCTAAATATATCGATTTCACTTCATAAAAGCAGACATTTTTTTTCGGTCTAATAGAACATTTATTAACCATTTAAAACCTTTTTCCAAAAAGGGTCAACTAGCCTATTGACATCATAGCATAGACAATCTATAGACTAAAATGGCCGACAGCGTTTTTGTATGTCCATGAAAATTCTATTTTAAAATTAAAGATTTGTAGCTTTCTAGGTCTCAAAAAAATACAATACATTTTTTTTCGGTCTAATAGAACATTTATTCACCATTTAAAACCTTTTTCCAAAAATGGTCAACTAGCCAATTACTTGGGACGGTATAATTACTAATAAGTCATCAGTGGTGTCGATTCTAGCATTATTCTCTAAACCTAAACTTAAATTTGACAGCAGTATATCCTTGTCATTCTCTATACAAAATGAAAACGAGAGACTGATGTTAAAAGTTTAGAGAATCACGCCAGAATTGGCACCAATGTGTAATTATTATATTACCGTGAGGCAGTGACGTAGCGTAGTAGGGGCGGCAAAATTTAACAATAAATAATAAAAATATTTCAACCATTTAATTAAGAGGGTGGCAAAATTGTCCTTCGCACCGGGCGGCCGACACCGACGCTACGCCGCTGCCGTGAGGTATTCCTTGTTTCCAATTAGAATCAACTCAGTGCTGATCTGATATACCCTTAGGGGCAATTTATACTAGCGCAGAGTCGAAGCGCATCGAAGCGTAAAATTATTCACGACTAAAGCGAAGCTGAACGAATGCGCGCGTATTCGCGAGAATACGCTTTTATCAGCAGCAGTGCTATTGCATCACTTGCTATTTGATCTATCAACACAGGTTAATTTCAGACTGATGACGCGTTGGTTCGTTAGTGAGAGCGCGGATTCGCGAAAATGCGCGCGCACCAACCAGCGTTGATCACGCGCGAATTCCGTAGAATGAGCGCGCGTCTTTTTTAATCTCCGAAGTAATGTGTGCAGTCCGCTGTGGAGATAAGGTTGAATTTGTTATGTTAATAATTGGATGTACGCTTCGATTCTGCGCTATTATAAATTGACCCTCACATAGTTAAGTTGATTTGGAGTCAGTACGGCACCGCACATCGCGACTGCTGACTCCATGTAAATGCGAGTCAGTAATCGGACGCCAGTGTCGACAGTTTTTGGGAGTCACTGACCGTTTGTAAATTTTGTACTTTATCTATGGTGTAAATCTACTTACCATACTTTTGTTTAGATAGGTAGTTCTTGGACTATTTAACGAGATATAATTATATAATTTTTTATACTCAATATTAAATTTATTTCCAAAATAAAAACAAGTGTTAAATAATAAAATTTACTAATCAGCAAACATATCTTCAATCTTCTTCTGAACCTCCTTTTCAGATTCTGAGTTAAGTTTATCTGGAAGTAATTTGACTGCCTCCATGTCCTCTGGCTCACCATCTTCAGAGGGAGTCTGACCCTTGGCCTATCGAAGAGAAAAATATAAAATAAATAAAATTTGTATATCCTTACAGAATGTTGAATTCGGTGGGCTGCCATTTTTGAATATTAATATTTTTTATGTATATCCTCCCAACTATGAATATTACACACATCATTATACCATAAAATATATAAACAACCAGGTAGCTAAATAACTGCTATTTGCCTTGATGACTTACCCGATTGTTTAACTGTAAGAAAATAGGTATATTAAAGGTAATGTAGGCTGTGTAGAAGTGAACAAGGCCTCCACAAACCGCTATAGAATCCCTACTATGTTTCAAGTCTTTTAATTTAATAAAATGCTATTTTATTAATCTTCTACACTATGATCTGGCTCAAAGTTACGTTAAAAAAAAATGAATATAAATAAAATATAAAGCTTTCTAATACAATTTTACCTTCTGCAGTTGTATTTCTAGTTGCATGACAGCCCTTTCAAGCCTGTAGTTATCTGACACAAGGTGAGCCCAGCGCCGTCGTAGAGCACGCAGACGAGCTCCACTGGCTGTTTGTGACTTCTTGCGCTCCCAGTTAACTGATGCTATCTGTTTTCTGTGTTATATCATTGTTAATTTTTGAAGTTATACTTCTTTAGGCGCGTTATGAAAAAATGATGAGAGTGAAATTTTAAGATGCGCGCGCATCACTGTAACACAAAATTTTAACAGCTAACTTCATGCGTTACTTTTGTGTTTACCGCACATTAAGAAAATCTACCAACAAAATAGAAATAGAATCTCTATTTAGTGGGTGCTAACGACTGCATTGGTTTTCCGGCTGTCGAACAATTCGCTGCGTAACGAGAGCTCTCACAATTTTAATTCCAAAAAGTGTACAAAACGCACCATACGATACGACATACCGCGAATTCGCACATTGAAACCACAAGAAATCGAAAAACACAGTTGTCCTAGCTAAAAAAGAAGAGAGAAGACTTAAAACTAAGGAAGAAATCACGGTGTTTTTTATGAGGTTAGAATCCATTTTGACTTTTAAGCGAAACATAGTTGACACTTGGCACTTGTCAGTTACATACTTTTGACAACTTGTCAAAGTAAGTGTTGCCATAACGTTAAAAAGAAAAATCTTTGGTAGTTTTTTTTAATACAATGGATCCTCAATTTCAATTACTTTGGAATAAAATGAAAGAGGAAATGAGCCACCAAACAGCTGTTATAAACCAAAATATGATTGCAACCATGGATGAGAAACTAAAACCTCTTGTAGATGACTTAGTGGGACTGAAACTAGAAGTAGAAACATTGAAGACAAAAACACAATATTTAGAAAGACAAGCAAGGAAAAATAATCTTATCATTCATGGCGTCCAAGAAACTGAAACTAATTTCCCTGACCTACTGAACTGCATTATCTCATCTCTGAATGTAGTCAGTGAGAAAGCAGGCATAGAATCTTCGGACAAATGGGAGATAAATAACATACAAAGAATCGGAAAGAAAACTGATGGTAAAACGCGGCCCATATGCATGACGCTCACCTTGTACTGGCGAAAAATGGAACTTCTGAAAAATAAAAAACATCTACCAAAAAATATATATGTAACAGAGGATTATCCTAAAGAAGTACTTCTAAAGAGGAAAGAATTAAAAACTCAACTAAAAGAAGAACTAGACAAGGGCAACGAGGGATATATTATTTACGATCGACTAATTGTAAAAGAAAAAAAAGAAAAAAGGAAGCGGTCGCCGACAGAGTCACCATTTGCATCAAACGACGAGAAAACAAAAAACACCAACAATACTAAAATGAGCAGAGTCAACTATTTCGACAAAGCGAGATCATTCTCCTTCAGCGGAACCAGCAGCGCGAACTAGCAATTAAGTAACACCAGCTTCGAACGGAAAACCAAAAATTTACAAACAGAAAACAACACAACAACAAGGAAAAGTCCCAATCAGGCTGGTCACCTTGGGACGTTAGACCACCACCCTCTAGAAAATAAACAACAAACAGGAAAGACATTAAAACCTAAACTTTTACTAAACCCAACAATAAGAAAAGATAAAAATAAACTATTCATAGCAACCCTAAATACAAGGACACTCAGAACAGATGATAGACTAGTAGAACTCGAATATGCATTACAAGGAATAAACTGGGATGTAATAGGTCTGAGCGAAGTACGACGACTAGGAGAAGAAGTGAGAGAACATGAAGATTACCTGTTCTACTACAAAGGAGAAACAAAGGGGCTACACGGTGTAGGTTTTATCGTTAAAAAGCATCTCAAAGAAGCAATTACACAATTCAGAAGCAAATCGGAAAGAATTGCTATTTTGGACTTGACTATCCAAGATGGAAAAGAGCCATGGTCCATCATACAAGTATATGCGCCCACAGAGAATGCAAACGAAGAAGACAAGAACTTATTCTATACATCACTACAAGATACTATTGAAGAAACTAATAAAAATAAGATTATATTGGGAGACTTCAACAGCCAGATAGGTAGCCAACAAAATGGAGAAACTAACATCATTGGACTCTACAGTCAAGGTAGGCGAAATAAAAATGGACAAACACTCATCGATCTTGCCCTTGAAAACAATTTAAGGATAATGAATACCTACTATAAGAAAAAAAGAAGCAGGAAATGGACTTGGATTTCACCTGATGGGAAAACCAAAAATGAAATTGATTTCGTATTAACCAACACACCGGGATTATTCAATGATGTAGGCATAGTGAATAACCTAAACTTCAGCACAAACCATAGAATGGTTAGAGCTACCTTGGAAATTACAAACAAAAAACGAACTAGGAAATACATAAAAAACAGATCAGATCAGATAGCAACTCCAATATCAGAAAACATCCTTAATAAAGTAAAAAGTCAGATGGATAAAATTAAAAATAGCGATTTAATTCAAGAAAAATATAACACATTCGAAAAAATATTAACTAATCTAGGAAACGAATTGAGACACATGAGTAAGTTAAACAAAATGGACAAAATAGGACATACAGCAAGAACCCTAATAAAAGAAAGAGGAGAAATGCTTGTAGACAGGAAAAAGAACATTAAAAAGATAGAAGCAATAAGTAAAAAGATCACATCAAGTATAAGAGACCATAAAAAGGAAGTACGTTTCAACAGCATTCAATCTGAAATCGAGAAAACAGGAGGAATCAAAAGAGTAATGAAGAAACTTAAGGATCACTCATTTTGGATACCGAAAATGAAGGGAAAAAACAAAGAAAACAAAGAATTTACAACTACAAACAGAACATCAATCAGCAAAATCGCTACGAACTTCTACAAAAGCCTTTATAGCTCATCCGAACTATCAGTAACAATAGAAAATCTAAACAAAGAAGAAGAAGTCCCTTACATACTAGAAAGCGAAACGAGACAAGCCATACTATCACAAAAGAACGACAAAGCTCCAGGAGAAGATAAAATAAACAATGAACTGCTTAAAGCGTCATTGAGTACTATACTAAAAACACTTACTAGTCTATTTAACGAAATCTTAGATAGTGAAATTATTCCGGAACAATGGACAAAATCAACTATAATATTGATTCACAAAAAGGGCGATAAAGACAAAATAGATAACTATAGACCCATTAGCCTCATGACAAACTTGTACAAAGTTTTTTCGAAAATTATTTTAGGCAGGCTCACCAAACGACTAGACGCGGAACAACCAAGAGAACAGGCAGGCTTCAGAGCAGATTTTTCAACGGTAGACCACATGCATGTCGTAAAACAAATAATAGAAAAGTACAATGAGTACAGGAAACCATATTATATTTCCTTTGTAGACTATAATAAGGCATTTGATTCGCTATCTCATAACTACATATATAAAGCTTTGTTCAATCAAGGAATAGAAAATAAGTATATTAGACTCATAAAGAATATATACAGCAACAACACGGCAAAAGTACAATTAGAAAAAATTGGAGAGGAATTTAAAGTCCAAAAAGGAGTCAGACAAGGGGATCCTCTATCTCCCAAGCTTTTTTCAGCTGTGCTAGAGGAAATTTTCAGAAAATTAGATTGGGAAAAGAGGGGACTAAATATTAATGGATGTAGGCTGTCACACCTGCGATTTGCGGACGACTTGATACTGTTTGCGGAGGACCCAGTCACTCTACAAGAAATGCTCTTACAACTTGCAACAGAAAGTCAAAAAGCAGGTCTGACCATGAACACAAATAAAACAAAGATCATGACCAATAGACATCAACAAAAAATCTGTGTCAATAATCATGACATTGAGTATGTGAATGACTACACATATTTAGGCCAAATAATTTCACCAAACTCGCAGATGGACAAAGAGTTGCAAACACAAGTAAACAACACCTGGGCTCGTTACTGGTCGCTGAAGGAAATATTGAAGAATAAGAACACTCCAATGCCAATCAAACGTAAAGTATTCAACATGTGCATCCTACCAATACTTACCTACGGGTGTCAAACTTGGGGCCTGACAAAGGCGCACAGTCAAAAACTCAAGGTATGTCAGCAAGGGATAGAGAGAAGCATGCTGCACATCCGTTTAAAAGACAAGTGGAGACTGAGCAGAATTAGAAAAATCACAGGTGTGGCAGATGTTTCCAAGAAAATAAGGAGACTTAAATGGCATTGGATTGGACATGTGATCAGATCCCCCAAAGAAAAATGGACCAAAGAGGTCGTATCTTGGTACCCCAGAGATGGGAGGAGGACAAGAGGGCGGCCACAGAGAAGATGGGAGGATGACCTACCACAAGGATGGCTCAGATTAGCAAGAGATCGGATAAAATGGAAAATTCTAGAGGAGGCCTATGTCCGAGGAGGACAACCTGATTAAAATAGTGCTGGTGTACCAATTTTCTTTTATTAGTAAGTAAAGCATTGTAAAATTAAATCAAATTGTAGCAATAGGAAATTAGTAATACGGCTAGTTAGTAAGTAGTATAATAACTATATCAGAGAATAAAGGCTATTTTTATTTTATTTTATTTATTTTATAACGACTGCATTGTGAAGGCCTATCAAAAGTATTTATTAATCTGGAACAACGGAATCAAAGCGCGATTCAGGAGACTACAGCGCCATCTCTTGACCATTGGTGTAGTAGAACCAAAAACCACATCTTTATTTTTTGTAATAAAGTAACAGTTATAGGTATTCATATTTATAATATTTATCCACATGTTTCTAGTTTGTATATTCGGAATACGTGTTTGAGTTTCATACAAGTGCAAATCACATATGTTCTAATAAATTATATTCAGTAGCGATTTTAATTGAATATTTTGATTATTTATTTATTTTTTCAAATTAAAACTGAACTTTTTTGTCTGTGTCCTTTTCCAGACTTTTTATTAACTTATTGTAATTAATTATTTGCATGCAATTAAAATCTAATTTTAAACGATGCCAAAGAAGGATAACTTCTAACGCGCCTACATAAGTACACGCACACATTTTTTTTTAAATTTATTTACGCAATATACTTGCCCCTGGACAGGAGCTGATTACTAGACATAAAAAAAACCTGGTTTTTCTCTTAAAGTAAACATTTTAGTCATATCCCAATAATGGTATGACAATAAAAGCAGAACTCTATCAAAGTCAATATCATTTACCATACAATAAAGTTCTTTAACAGTAAAGATGAAAGTCAAGACAAGTAAAATGCATTTCGGATTTCTATTTTATTCTAATAAATTCTTAGCAATATATACCTGAGCAGTGAGTGCACATTCTGTGCCCGTGTGACTAAAGCTTGCAGTGTGTTTAAGTAAGATCTCCAAGCCTCAGAACCATACTGCAACTGTAACTCCAAATTCAGCACTCTTATAGCCTGATGTGACAACTGTGCATGAGAATTGTCTACAGACTCCGCCCAGGCAGTGGGCTCTCCAAGGCGACCTGCCGGTGGAGGCGGCAACTCATATCTGCAATGAAGTTTACACTATAACAACTAGTTATTTAAATAACAACATTTTATGACTTGTTTGTGTTATTTCAGTGAAATATATAATACCTTTTCATAGATAATGGTTCCATCGGCAATCGCTGTTGTACACGTTCCATTTCTCTTTGCAATGCTTGAGTTTCAAATGATGTGCTAAGCTCTGGTCCAGCGTTTTCGAGATAGTTCTTAGTGGGTCTGTAACGTCTGCATTCCTCCTCAACCATAGCCAAAGCCTAATAACAAGAAAATTATTAGTTCATCATCATCATTCAACATAAAGTTTATCTAAAATTAATTATATTTTGTTTACTATTTGTTACTTACGGCCTCTCTAACACCTGGGTCGTCATAACCCTGATCTATGTACGGTAACGCATCCACTACTACTTCACCAGCCATTTTGATAGAAACACACTGTTGTAATATTTAAAAATATGACTAGTAAATATACTTTTACTTTGGTGATAAGTCTTCTTTCTCTAAACGATTGCAAATTTTCAATTTGTTATATCTCTCTCAACCTCAGAGTCAACTTCTTTAGTCATTGCTCTCAACACAACACAAGTCGAACCAAAACAAAAATGACACTTATTTTGTTTTTATTTTTATTTCATAATTTCATGGCAATGAATATATACCCTTGTCCGTAGCTTTCAAAATAAGGGCGGCAATAAACATGTCGTTTTTGTTAGATTAGTCAGGCGTTATTTTGGCAACACTGGATTACGTTCCATACGCACGCAGCAACGAAACGTAACCTTGTTATTATGTCACATCTGACCAGTGATGCCAGAACGTCCCAAAAGGGACGATTTTCGTCCCTTTTCTCATCAAAGCGTCCCATCGATGTCCTTTTACATATTCCGTCCCTTTTCCGTCCGTTTTCGATAACGCTTCACTGCAACATTAGACGAATGCGTTTCGTTTCACTAAATTGCCATCACTATTCGTTGTACATTGTCAACTCTATTCGTCAAATCACCCAGTAAACTACATCGAATCCAACGCTCGCTACGAAGGTGGCGTTTAACAAATACCTACCTATATCTATATACCAACTCAAAGCTCAAACCCAATAACCTACCATATCTTACCTAATAAAACTTTTGTTGTTGAGGTACCTATATTTCAATTATAAAGATAATAAATAGGTAACTTAAAAATAAGTGCTTGCTTTGTTAAGTCGTAAGTACGTACGATACGTTCGTACCACCATGATGTACCTATGTCCTCCGTACCATCTTCTTTATGTTTATTGTGTGCCCAAAAAAATATAATTAATATGGCTCTGTTAAAATGTTTTTTGAAGTGAAACTTCTTTAGGCACGCTTGACTTGGGGGGTAAACTGGCGAATAGTTACGATTTCGCGTTACGATTAGTGTCATCGGTGACTCATCGGTAAACAATGAACAATACCTGTCACAAAATACATAAATCTAGTGCTTGGCTAGGTGGCCTGGATAACGGACCTAGCGCGGATTGGTGGATGGTAACGGACACAGCGCAGATTGGTGGGTAATTACTAGTGGTGCCAGGTGTCCCGATTTGTGCGGGATGTCTCGATTTTCAGGGGTGTGGGGACGCGTCCCGATTTGTACCTGATCGGGACGCTAAATAACCCGATGAATCAAAAAATGAAAGTTAGGTAATTAATATAATACTATACTTGCACTAGTGGTTTAAATCGCAAAAAATAAACCCAGACTAAAAAACCCTCGTTTTTTGTTTACTGTCCCGATCTACAACCCTAAGTCCCGATTTTTTTCACCTCATGTACCGACTTAAAACAAATCGGACCTGGCAACACTAGTGATAACGGACCCAGTGCGGATTGGTGGATGATAACGGAACGGACCCAGCGTGGATTGGTGGATGATAACGGGCCCAGCGCAGATTGGTGGGTGATAACGGACCCAGAGCGGATTAGTGGATGATAACGGTCCCAGCGCGGATTGGTGAGTGATAATGGACCCAGTGCGGATTTTAGGGTGATAACGGGCCCTGCGCGGATTGATGGGTGGCAATGGACCCAGTGCGGATTGGTGGGTGATAATGGCCCCAGCGCGGATTGGTGGGTGATAACGGACCCTGTGTGGATTGGTGTATAATAACGGACCCAGTGCGGATTGGTGGATGATAACGGACCCAGTGCGGGTTGGTGGGTGGCAATAGACCCAGTGCGAATTGGTGGGTGATAACGGACCCAGCACGGATTGGTGTGTGATAACGGACCCAGCGCGGATTGATGGTTTTTTTCTATCAAATTACAGATCATTGGAGCTATAGAAATTTCACTTCCAGTCGTGTGGTATATATAATTTTTGTTAGTATCACTACATTTCCACCTTAATTAAGGTATACAAATAGATAAGGACCTATGAAAGAAGTACTATTATTTTTACATTGGAATCACAATTTATGAATATAATTTGAAATTGTCTATTGTTACATGCATGTCAAAGTAGATTATAAATTAATTATAAATTTGATAAGCCATTGTCAATTAGACATGGGCGTTTTTGGTTTTGAACGCAAACGGATATTTATCGGATTTCAGATTTCAAAATCGATTTTAAAATCCGTTTTTAGATATCCGATTTCAGATGTGCCGAACTAAGCCAATTCACTAGTTTGTGATATGATTTGGTTTTATTAGCTAACGACAATCACAAACAATTAATTGTACGAAGCAAGGATACTCGTAGATTTGCGCGATTTTCCTTTATGCTTTAAATCTAGGCTTAGGCAAGAGTATATATTCTGTGGCTTAGGACTAGCAGAAAAGTTATCTTTACGGATAAGAGTAAAACTTTTGCGGCGCATTTAAAAATCGGCTTATGTTAAATGATTTCTTTTTACATATTTTTTTAGTATTTTTTTTTGATTTTTCTGTTTGTTTTTATTATTTTTCAAACCATTTACAAAATCAAACCTAATTACTTCAGGTTAGCGTTCAAAAAAATGTCAGTTGCTCGACTTTTGATGTTTTTAGACATCTTTTTTCAGTAATAAATAATCCCGCCTTAGAGAAGAACAATAGATTTCCGTAAACAGCAAACCGAAATCGGACTTCCGAGCACGAAATCTGACTTCCGAAAACGAAAGCACGAATTTCGAATCCGATTTACATTTGGATACTTGTGGACTTGTGGTGGTATTAGATCGCTAGCGTTTTGGTTCGGTTAGATTTCTGAAATCGGATTTTCTTGTTGAGAAATCGTTCGGTATCGATTTGTGTTTGAAATCGGATTTTGGATTCGTTTTGATATATCGGACGCATGCCTATTGTCAATTCAAATGTCCAAAATAGCAATAAATACACATTTCTTAACTGGATTGTCAAAGTTAATATGTCTAAATTTTTTAATAGAGATCTGCTTCTGTATAGTTCTTAGTGCTAACCGTACTAAATGTATGAACCAGATCGCGCCACAACACAACACGTAAGATAAATATAGTTCAGCCTTTAGTTTAATATTTCTGTAGGGCCGTCCTTTTTGACTAAAAATCGTCCCTTTTCAGATTTCGAATCGTCCGAAACACGACGCAGGTACTGGCAACACTGCATCTGACGTTTAATATGATTTTTGCTGTCTGATCAAAGCAAAATAAATAATTTCGGTTTATTTTTTAGGGCAGCTAAGTAGCATTAGCTCCCTAATTAAATACTTAATGCTCATACGGCCACGCCTCTATTCAGAGGGGTAAGCAGTGCAATAAACTGTACTATTAGTCGAAACCAAATTGCAATGCAAGAAACAATGGCATTTGATGTGGCTAGTTTGGACCTTTCAACGGTATTTACTTTTCTCTCTCTGATAAATTTCATATTTGACTTTATAAAAAGATACTAACTTGCGTTCCTATGTTACAGATTGCAGCTCTTCAACAGAAACGAACACTCGCATTCGTTAATCACTTTATATTGACCACTGTACAGTTCCTAAATAACTTTTCTAAAACATGTGAACATAAATTAATGTCCTTTGAAAGGAAGTTGGAGAAAGTTGAAGCAGCTATCATACTGTTGGAAACTCGAGTAAGAATTTTAAAAATGTATAACCTATATGCATACTAAAATATTTCAAACAAAAATTACCTACGTAATGGTATTGATTTCAGCATAATCCTCTAGACCTAAACTTGAAAACAGTCTTATCTTTATTTTCTATAAAGAATGAAAAGGAGAGACTCATAATAAATTTTGTTTTGAGTTTAGAGAATCATGCCAGAATTGAAACCAATATTTGTAATATCAAGATTTTTTATAAAGGCTAATTTCTTTTACAGTTATCATCTATACCAGAGGTAAATACTACTACAGACACTGAGACCTCTGATAAAATTACAAACAAAGAAAATGAAACAGAAAATAAATCTGAAACTAAAACGGAGTTGAAGGAGATGGATGAAAGCCCTTCAACCCCTTCATACCCAGAGTATGACAGATTTGTTAAGATGGTGCAAGTTGGAGTACCCTTGCAAGCAGTAAAGTTGAAGGTCTCCATTGAAGGGCTAGACCCCAATATTTTAGAACAAATTGTCAATAAATAGTATTCCATACCAAATTTCTTCAAGTTCAATATTATATTCAAGCATATATGAGAGGTATTAAGCAGAAAGAGACTAGTGGCCATTTTCAGGTTCAAACATCAAACTTAAACATGTGTACTAATAACAAATTTTAGCCTGCTCCAAAAATGCCTGCTGGTCGCTGTCCGTTTAATAATGCTCATTTTATATCAAAGTTAAATGATAAATAACCAAATGAAACAAAAGAAGTTGTTAAGACTTATTTATTACAACCAGCCTAGAACTGGATCATCTGTCCTTTCCTCTTCTTGTCTCCTCCGAGTTCAAAGTGCTTGCAGCGCTTAAGTGCAACTTGGGATCGTACTTTGCAGTCTGCACACTCCAGACGGAGAACAATTTTCTTGGTGGTTTTAGCCTAAAATTACAGCAATGATGACCATTAGATAGTGCATTTGTTATATTTAATGTTGACAATGAAGCAACTTCGTACTTATCTACTAAATATGTTAATCACACTAATATTATAAAGGTCAAACTCTGTGTGTATTTTCGTCTTCATGTCTAAATGGCTGGACCCATTTCAATAAAATTTAGCACAGAGTTAGCCGTAACCCTGGATTAACAAATAGGCTACGTTTAACTGTGGGAAAACATCCCTTATAAACCGCGGGTAACACCGCGAGGCACAGCTAGCCCTTAATACACAGTGAAACATAAAACCAATTGTTATTGAACTTGCATAGTCTTTAGCAATTACGCTATTTGATATTGAATTTGAAGTAGTACAGAAACATCAGTTCCGAGTGTATACACTATAGTTCTAATATACATACACAATGAAACAATTTGAAATAGGTACTAAGTTGTTAGAAGTTTATCAGAACAACCTATTAACTTATTGTTAGTAAATTCATTGATTGTTACATATTTGACATTATGTGATGGAAGTTGACCTCAACACATGTTTGCAAGTTTGATGTCAACTTTCAATTGGACGACACTGTATGAAATAAAACAGGGAGAAAAAGCAGCCCTTGCTGAGTTTCTTGCCGGTTCTTCTCAGTACAAGGTCTCCCGCCGTAGTTTTGCGAACCGATGGCGTAGCTTTTCGACATTCACAAGTGCTTGTAACAGCCTAGACTGAATAAACGATATTGAATTTTTTTTTTTTTTTGAAACCCTTTTGACTTACCTTCTTTTTGAAAATAGGTTTGGATTGACCACCATAACCTTGTTGTTTGCGATCGTAACGTCTTCTGCCCTGGGCAGCATGCCTTTCTTTGGACTTTTTATACTGAGACACCTTGTGAGTCTTGTGGCATTTGCATTTTTTGCAGTAAGTCCTGCGCTGTTTTGGTACGTTCACCTGAAATTAATAATCGGAAACCATGAAATATCTTCATATTTTCGTAAATACGAACACGACACATTCAACTGATTGTCTTTTTAAAGATTTACGCGTTAAACAACGATGATGTTTTCCGATTTTTATATACAAAACACTAACCATTTTTGATTTCGTTCAACACGATCAGCGAAACGTCAAAAAAGAATAACTGATTAACGTCAAATTTTGAGGTTAAATTATTCTTTTTTTTTAAGATTATACCTTTCAAGGGAAAGTGAAGGTAAATAATTCCCATACAGCCTAGTCTTAACTTTAATTATTCTTCTTTTTTTTACATTAGAATGTCGATGAGAAACATTCTAATGTTTCTTGGAGTGTTTGGTATGAAATGTCGAGTTGACTGTTTCGATAAGCTTCTGTGAGGTAGTCAACACTACAATACAGTTCTCACGTCCACTTGACCGTAATAGCGTACATTTTAAAGACTCCACTAATTCTTTAGTTGCGCAGACGGTTGTAAACACAAAATCACACCAGTTTTATTTCGCAATATCCACTATGAACGAATTTAAGATAAATTAAAATAAGACGCCAACCACACTCGATGAAGTCCCGCCAAGTACTCTGGATATATCCATGATAGCAAATACTATAGAAACTCTCCGAGATTTCTCTGGTTCTATAGTATTTGATGATAGTAAAGTAAGTGAGATGACCTTACTCAAAAATATTGGGAACTGGTTTTATCTATATTACAGACCTTTGTGTAAAATGCATGCGACGACTTTTTTGGGAATCCCACAGGACCCTAAAATTTTTCCATTATAAAAATCAATAACATCAGAATTTTTCCTGTCTCAAGCCAAGTTATATAGGTCATAAACTATAAATGCATGTGCACCTTTCATACAAATCTCTACAATAGTTTTTGCGTGGTTTAGTAACAATAAATTCACATTTCTTTTCAGTTGTAGAATATGTGGGGAATATAATATGTAGAGAAGAAGCAATAACATATATAGTTATAAAACACCATACTCTGTCTGCGCGTCGCGCTGCTTGCTTACGTAGTCGGGTAAACACTCGGGGGACTTTGGGCGTCAAGGACTTGACTGTTTAGAGAATGTTCGTTTGCCTTTTGAATCAAATAAATGATAAACAATAATATAAAACTGGCGCGCAAATCTGACAGTTTGGTTATCTCGAAATCGGAAGTTAATTTGACCACAATTTTTCAGGCTTAAAATCACTTTTTCTGAATTATAACCGCTGAATAATGAAGTTTGCAATACCTGAAATATCTTGGCATAACAGAGATCCTGTTTTAAGTGTGGATTTCCAACCAAAATGTGATGGTAATGGACCTTTGCGACTTGCAACAGGTGGCACAGATTCTCATGTTTTGGTAAGTATTTTCGAGGCGTAAGGTATAAACACAATAAATATAGATTTGTGAGAAAATATTTTTAATATACTAATTGTTTCTTATGTAGATATGGTATATAACAACTGCAGATGCTGGGTCTGTTAATATCGAAGTAGCTGCTGATTTAACTCGTCATCAGAAAGCTGTAAATGTAGTGAGATGGTCTCCAAATGGACACCTATTAGCTTCAGGGGACGATGAGTCTATTATATTTATATGGCAACAAAAAACAGAGAAAGAAGTTGCTCCAGTATTAGAACAAGGTGAAGAACAATATAAAGAAACTTGGGTTATTCACAAGGTAGTGGAACGTTTACGGTTTATATAATATCTAGCTATATTATTTTCGAATTTGAATTAGGTTTGGAATTAGCTCTGTATCTTACTCTCTTATTTTTCAGACACTGCGTGGTCACATGGAAGATGTCCTCGATTTGTGCTGGAGTCCAGATTCTTTACATATTGCGTCAGGCTCTGTTGACAATAAGCTCATGGTGTGGGATGTGTCTCGAGGGAGGTACAGCTCCATCATCACGGATCATAAAGGATTTGTACAGGGAGTGGCTTGGGATCCTCAGAACGGGTTCATTGCCTCAGCTAGCTCTGACAGGTAGCTTTTTAAGCATTTGAATAGCAATCAAATTAACATTTTTGAATTTCTTTTGGTGACTATTATAGAAAATAATATTACAATATATTTGTTTCAGAGTATTTCGTACATTTGACATTTCCACAAAGAAGGTTGTGTCTCGGAGCAGTAAAGCCACCTTGCCATTTCTTCTGGAGCATCCTTTGCATAATGTGAAAGTGAGGCTGTATCATGACGACACTTTGCAGACATATTACCGTAGATTGCACTTCAGCCCCGATGGTCTGCTGATTGCTGTCCCGGCTGGGAGAATAGAGCCAGAACAAGGCAAGATGGATATGAAGCCGATCAACGCCGTTTACATTTACACTAGATATTCTCTCAAAATGTAAGTAAATGTTTATGATGATTTAACCTATTGTTAGTCTATTTGTATTTTCATTGAACCTTGAACAGTAAAAGCTGTTAAGAATGACTTTAGTAACACACAACCATAAATTAATCTTAAACTAGAAATCATCTAGAATAGGGAGAAATAACTTACTTTAAAATATACACGTGTCAAAAAAGAGAGAGCAACATGCATTATTTATGCCAATTTCAAGTTTTATCAGTTATATTTTATATAAATGTCGATTTTGATGATGTATCATTTTGTATAATTCATTCAAAGGTTTTTTTTTACTTTAACCGCAATAATAAATAAAATTAGTTATTACTAACAAAAGAATAAGAAAGTAATAAAATATTAAATATCAGTAAAGATTATTTCCTAAAAGTTCAGTATTTTGATGAGTATACTTTTCAAGAATATAAGTATGACACAATTCATGATGCTTTCCTTCTCTTCAGGCTTTCTATCCTTTTCGGGCTGTGTTTACAAGACATAAGTTGATCAACTTATTATTATAAGTATCAGTACCTCTATAAAAGATGAACTCATCAATACCTATATAGACAGTCTGACACAAATACAGTGTAAACTCCATGTAACGTCACTCAATTTAACGACAAACTCCCTAAAGCATCGAAATCACTCGTCTTCAGTTGGTTTAGTTTGTTTTCCATACAATGATACACTCCATATAGCATTACACCCACTCTCAATCATGCAAACCAAACTTTCTAAGAAATTCGTGCTTTTGTTCACAAATTGGGATTGCACGGGTAGACTGTTGTTGGCCATGACAAAAAAAATATAATACAACAAAATTATTGGTGCAGCAAAAGAGGTCAGACAAAAATAACAGAATATACGCAATAGCGTTCAAATAAGATTATTTTTTATGTACATAACTACTAGATTGAAATGAACTTTTTCTTTTCATAATTCTGATTTTTCTTCATTCCATATAACGACAACTCTCTATGACGTCATAAAATGTACAGTCCCTTTAGTGTCGTTTTATAGAGAGTCCTATATATAGAGTTTACACTGTATTAGTACTGCTGATGCAGCACCAGTTATTCGAGGAGCCCAAAGTGTTTCCGAGTTGCAATGGCTATTTCAACTCAGAAATACTGGGTTAGGCTGGAAACTCACTTAGACATACTAGCAACACAGCAAATCCAAGTCGTTCTTCAGAAGAAGATAGGGCAATTAGGTCTCTAGATATTTTCATTATTTTAACCAGGTAATGTATAACAATTAGTCCTAAAAATTGGAACCAGATTATCTTTAACTTTTACTGGAGTTTGATTATTGAAACTGAGGCCCAAGCATGAACTTATGGCCTAGAAAACTCAGCAGTGCTATCAGACCTAAGAACAAACTGGTTCCTTTCATACAAAATTTGACCACAATGATACAATTATGGATTAGTCAAAGTTCATATTTGGGTCTCTTATATTAAGTCGTCGCTCATAGCGGCAAGATCATAGTCGCGCCGCCCCCTTTTAACTTAAATAAATAAATATTCCCAACACTCACACCAATTAGCCTAGCCCCAAAATAAGCACTGTAGGCTTGTGTTACGGGATACTAGGGTAACAGATAGAATACATATACTGACACATAAATGTGTATTAATATAGAAATACATGTTAAACATCCATGACTGGATTACAAACGCTCGTATTCATCAAAAAAAAAATTTCCCTCACCGGGATCCGAACCCCGGACCTCTCGAGTAGGAAACACGTTGAAACCCGGCTTACAAACCACTCGGTCACGGATATCGTCAACTTAAAATAATAGAATGCTATTGTAAACGCTCGGATGCTTTGGTTTAGTCCCGTATGCGTGCTGCCTTGCGGTGAAGCAGCACTGGTGACCCGCTGGAGCCCCGTCTTGTACCGAGTGCGGGGCTCCGGGCCGGGGGCTGCTTTCAAGACCCACGGACGGATGATACTGGCCGTAGCTACCAAGAGATCCGTGCTTATATACGACACGCAGCAGAAGACTCCACTCGCTGTCATATCCAATATACACTACACTAGGTGAGTCGCATTGTTATCGTGCACGACACAATACCAACAGACAGACAGAGAATGCCAACTCAAAATAAAAAACGGCTAAGATCACCAGACACAGTAGAACAACATTGAATAAGAAAATGATGAGCTGACCCCCCCCCCCCCAATAAATAAATAACAAGTACCCTTGTAATTTTTAAATACATATACATATTTATTGTTTATTTTATGTATATTCTTATTTCTTTTTGGTTGATTGCAGATACATGAATGTTTATTAGACTCGTACCCTATTAGTGACTTTTCTCTGGTAAAATCAATAGTTTTCATTCCTTTCGCCCGCTATGTTTCATCACTTAGGATTGAAGACTATTTCATCAATGTTTTTTTTTCTTTATTTTTATGTTATTCTTTTTGGTAACTTAGGTTTACTTAGTACATTTTTGCTGGCCTTTAGCTGTTTAATGTACCTTTATAAATAAAATAAAATAACAGTTATTAATAAATACAAATAGTAGTCAATAATCTACGAGGTATTATTAGACACTATGATAAACAGTGACCACTAACTGTTGATACTTCAAACAGATCTTAATACTAAATGTCGATTCTGCAAAAGAACTTACTGATACAACAATAAAAGCTAAAAAATAGAAACCACCACTTGATCTCACAGAACTAACATATCTATTCCCAGAAGTGGCAATATATAGAAGTGGCTCAAAGTGGTAATAGAAATCATTAGTATTGTCAATTTAGAGAGATCATTGATGTAAATAAGAAAAAGAAGACATCCAACGACGCTCCCCTGAGAAATGGAAGCGTTTATAGTTTTACTTTCAGAGAGAACTTTTATTTTTTCTTTCTGTATATGATCAAAATATGCTATTTCAATAAATTGCTCTCGGTTTTGCAAATAATTTTTGAAACAATTGTGCGCTGTTCTGTAATATTAAGTAGTATTTTATGATTAACACTCATATGTGATTTCAACATATCCAATAGGATTCCAATAGCATATTTTGTATCTTCTATTACTTTAATTATTTGCTGAACATATTTATAAACAGCCAAAACTGTAGACCGTTTCTTACTACAGCCAGAATGGCTTTCATTGATGATTTCAAACTTTTTGCAGAACTTGATAAATATCTTTGACGAAGTAGACAAAAGAGTGATGGGATGGTAATTGTAAGGATTTGATTTGTCATTATTCTTATGGATAGGCTTGATTATTGTTGTTTCTAGTAATGTGGGGAAAACTACTTCTTTAAAGACATTGTAAATGGCAAAGTTAACTGATCGGCACACTCCTTGATGAACGTCATGAACATATAACTATTTAATGTTGTTTCATAATAGTGTTTATATCTTTGTGCAGACTGACAGACCTGACGTGGTCATCGGATGGCAGACAATTGGTGGCTTCCAGTACGGATGGGTTTTGTTCGGTCATCTCCTTCGGGGAGAACGAGCTCGGGGAACCCTTGTCTAAAGCAGAAATCGAACTACACAAACAACCTGGTAAGTCTTGTGGTACAAATATGCCCTCCATCCATGCAACAATGATATTTCCTAAGCTAGTTGAAAACAGATACGAAATTACGCCAAGAAGTTGTAAAATATTTATGTTTCTAGGTTTTCACACCAGGGCTTGAAACCGGTTTCAAAAAGACCGGTAAATAAAGGTTAATACCGGTTTTTAGTAAAGATTTCGTTCGGAGCGCGTCCGAAATGAAAGCGGTACCTAAAACCTTAATAAACCGGTTTAATCCAGAGCGACACGTGCACGCGTCGGCATCGCTTGAAGTTTGTTTTGTTTGAACTAATCAAGTCACAACTTGTTAATGCTCGGATATCAATGCATTTATTGACACTTTTGCTAGCGTCTAGTGAGTCAAGTTATTAATTTTGTAGTTGGGTATTTATTTTAGCCGTCAGTAAGAAATGAAACCTTTTAAAAACCGCTAAATTGATTCAAAACCTATTTGATTTCGCTTTTTAGGAAAACCGGTTTTTAAGATTAAAGTAGAGCCAAACCTTAATAAAACGCTCCTAATGTACTTGACACTGATTTAGGTTCGAAAATTAACCGGTAAACAAGACCTGTTTCACACTAAATAAAAGAAGTTTCAACGGTATAGATGCACTGATTTATTTATTTATGACGTTTCGCATCCTTTTCAGGCTGCGTCGTCAGAATTATGATTTTATTTTTTTTGTCAAGCGACAAAGTAAATGGCTCAAAATCACCAAGGTGGTAAATCCACTTCGGCAGCAAATAAATGCCTAAATTCTGTATTTTTTTAACATTTTAGCATTGGTAAACACTTAACTGTGTTTACTTTAACCACACATCACACAAAATAATTAAAAAGTCTTATATATTACATTTTATATGGACAAATAAGTACAAAAAATCATTTGGAGAACGCGTCCTAAGTAGCAATTCTTAAAAGCTAACACCAGAAATAGTCATAAAATAAAACATTTTTAACGGTTATTAATACCCATTCACCTTCAATTGTATCTAATATTACATTATTGAAAGCATTATTAAAGAAGAAAAACGAATTTAAAAAATCTAAGTCTAAATATAATGTCCGACAATATAAGCATCATGTTAGTGAACGCAGCTTTGATTACGCGAAACAAAAAATTTCGAACGCATCCCTCTTTAGTCTATGGAACAGCTGTAGAGAGAGTTGTAAACAAAGTGGCTGTGAAGAAAGTAGTTCGCCAAATGAAATTAAAATAAGTGGTAAGTGGCTTTCAATTCATTATTTACAGAGCGTACATCAATAGGTCGTCAATTGGGGAACGCGTTTTCCAATCAAAATTATGCAATAATAGCTTTTTCATCCCACCACCTCGGAAAGTGTAATTTTGCGCTTCGAAATCTGGCTGGAAAATTCTATTTTATTCGCTTGAGCGGCAAAGTAGATTTGAATTTAGAACATCACATATAATGAGTACTCAATATAATTGTAAATTCAAAACGTCATTAAACCTATTTAATGTAACCTCTATGGTGCCAAATTTATGATTAGAACTTTTTAAATTGTGAAAAAATTTAAATTTGGAACCTTCTTGGTTTCTTTGTTTTATTTGCGTGCTTCGCGCCATTCTAGTTTTTCACGTTTTATTGCTTAAATATTTTGTCATTATAAATTGTTTTCTTTTTCATTTTGTCATTTCCTCGCTGAGGTGGGATGAAAAGTTACGTATTGCACTCGAGTGGAAAGATTTTTCACCTTGTGCTCGTTTGTTTCCCTCGCTGACGCTCAGGATTCTAATTTAGAATCACTCGCTGCGCTCGTGATTCAACTTTAGAATCCTTCGCTTGCTCGGTCATCCAAATCGAGCACGCGGTTAAAAAGGAACTTTCCACTCTTGTATAATAAATAACTATTATAGTGTTGTATAACAAATGTTATAATCAAATATTTTACATTAAGGAAGCAAGAATTGCTGTCAAATATGGCTGCCGTTTAAAAAAGACGCGGTTATTTGAAAATATCATTTGGTGAACGGTCATTTGGGGAACGTTCTCCGATTTGATGGACCGTTCTCTAAATGATGTTGTTGTTCCCCAAATGACTATTTAGTTACTAATTGGTACTTTCTATTACTAACTGTCAATTTTGTGTATGTCGTGCTTACAAAGTTATCAATAGGTATACTAACTTTATTTTTACAGCAATATGGAGTCTCACAAAGCTGAAAAAAAACCGTTCGAATAAGCAAATAAAGAAAAACAGTACAGCTTACATAAAGAAGTGAAGTCTCAGAACCCTACAACTCCCAATAGCAAAGTTAACGCATTGTTAGAAAACGTTGACGTACCTCCTGAAGTGCGCAAGAATCTTTTATTTAACGAAGTGAAATCTTTTATTTGAGAAAAAAATCCAAAGACAGGGTAGTTTTTCAAAAATGTGTTAGCGGGATTATGGTAAGGCAATACAAATTGCTTCATAAGGTAAATTGTTTTTTGCCAAAAGAGAAAACCAGTACTATTCTCAAATCTGACGCCAAAATTCATGAGGTTGTTTTGAATAAAGAAGTTCGCGAAAAAGTCAAAGAGTTCTTCCAAAGAGATGATGTCAGTAGGGTGTGTCCAGCCAAGAGAGATTTCGTAAAGAAAAACGGGATTAAGAAGCAGAAACGCCTCCTTTCATGTTCAGTTAAAGCACTGACGTCAAGAGTTTTACTTGGCTGTGTCATCAATTATGAGACTAAAAAAGTGATTTAATTGAGTTAGAATTAAGTTCTTGTTAAGAATAAATCTTATAGCAAATAAATAAATAACAATTACTTCCTATAATTTGGCTTATTATTCAATTTAACTGTGAATTAAACCCTAATTGTCTGCATATCGTCATTTGATGAATGCCCTCATCATTTCGGGGAACACCTCTAAAATCAAAGAAATGCCATTTTAACATAAGTTATTTAGGAATAAAGTCTGATAATATTGGAAACAGGCTGAATCCCTATAGCTACCGCAGATTTATTTATATGCAAGTGAGCGATATTCACTTATTTTGTAAATTTAAGAACATGAAATAGTCATATAGCTTAATTTACAGCGACATTGTCCTTAAAAACGTTTTAATTCCAAATTTTGTCAAAGTTTTTTAAGTTCGTACTATTGGCGACGTATCTCCGTTATCGTTAAGGGTAAAAATGATATATATATTTATTTAATTATAAACTTCCGAATACCGTTCCCCGAATGATTAATTTTAGTGATAGCACACTTAAAAATTGAAATTTCAAGAAAAGTATTTAATTCTATGCTCTGCCAAGGTCAATATAGTTTAACATAAGTTTAGTTATGATTTAGAGTAATTATCAATATATTTAGCTTCTACTCTATAGCATCATAAAACAGAATTCAGTATTTTCCACCTTGGTGATTTTGAGCCAAATAATATCATAATTCTGACGACGGAGCCTTAAAAGGATACAAAAAACGACATAAATAGATAAATCAGAGCATCTATACCGTTAAATCTTGTTTTATTTAGTTGTAAAATTACCAATGTACAATAAAAAATACTTTAAGCACCATATGGAATAATGTGTATATTGTAGTACTAGCGGCCGCCCGCGACTTCGTACGCGTGGAGTTAGTTAGAAATAAAGGTTCACTGCTCGTTCCCAGTAGGTGATAGCGTGATAATATGTAGCCTATATTTTGACCTGTCTTCTTAATAATATTCATGCCAAATTTGAATTAAATCCATGCAGTACTTTTTGAGTTTATCCCGGTCATACATACAAACTGACAAAAAATCTAAAAACTATATTTTTGGCTTCGGTATCGATTGTAAATCACACCCCAAGAATTCTTTAAAAAAAATATTCAATGTACAGTTTTGAATTTCCTACCATTTTATTATATGTATAGATGTCCATCCACTCACCTTCTTCTGTTTAAAATAAACATTCTTGTGCAATTGTATTAAACATACATAATAGAAATATGATTATTTTTTTATTTAGTACTCATTTAAAAAAAAACGAGTGAGCCTTACAGTAGTCGCGTATGATGTGTAACATTTGAAACCTCACCTTATATTAGTAAAAAAAGAAATAAAACCTACTACAAAAGGAATAAGCCATTTGAACATTATGTTCCTAAATCAAATCAAATAGCGCGCGCTTTCGCGACTTCCTGTTACACACTTCCGTCCCATTTCACGAAAACACTCCCAGAAATTGCAGGAAAGCGATAGGAAAGATGTTACACATCAATAATATTGGAATTTTAGCTAACAATGTAACCTCATTTTACAGCACCCATGAAAGTTGAAGAAAGTGAGCCACAGAACACTGAATCTACAAAAGTGAAGACCCCCGAAGAAACTAAACCAGCCAGCAATCTACAGAAAATAGACTCGTTTATCAAATTCAAAACTCCTTCACAGAAATCGCCCAAGAAGCAGAAGGTCCAGCAAGTCCAACAGAAAACCCCGGTCAAGAGGGACATTTTGGACGATGTGGCCATGTCTTCGTGGTCGGATAACTCCAACAACGATATAGTTGTGCCGAAACAGACAGAGGCTATGGAAGTTGATCAGCCAAGCGATAAACCTTCCGAGGTCATCGAAATCGAGGACAGTGAAGATATGAAGCTCGTTTACGATGAAACAGAAACGAAATCCGAAAGTCCACCTAAAGATTCTAAGAAAACATCTCCTGAAAGGAATAAGGAACAGACCGTTCAACCGACTACCCCGAAGACTTCCATCACTGTTAACAAAGACAGTGGTAACTTCTTGAAACAAGCTAAAGTGACCGATATCAAAGAACCCGTGGCGGTGAAGGCTGCCCCGAGCCCCAAAGCTCCCCGAAGAGTTAGTTTTGTAACACTTTCTAGTCCTAAAAACGCGAAGAAAAAGTGAAACACTCAAGTTTTATCAAAAACAAAAGATATGGACTCTTAATTTGGTGCAGGTGAAAATAAACTCAGATTAAAAGTAAACATTTATAATAAATATTTACAAATCAATGCTATCACATTTCAAAATAAAGGAGAGTATAATAATAACAAAATATATTTCGTCAGAGTCATACTTACCTAGCTTATCAGGCGACTTTATCCTGTTCCAATCAATTGTAAAATAAATCTATACAGATATCAAAAAACTGAGTTTTTAATTTCACATTATTTATAAGATGGGAAGAAAAATCAACGAATCGACAATTACAATTCAAACTGTTGGTTTAGGTGATATGAGATATTTATTCTATCATTCGTTCTTCGTCTACCTAAATCTACTTTATAAGATCCATAACAAACGCTCACTGCCTTCTAAACACGTGAATCGTATCGAATGATTCAGCACTTGGAAATGCAACAAACTTATAATATATTTGGAGAATACTCTGTTCTGTGGACGTATACGAAATACGCCATCTTTTGTCCCGTTCAGTCTTCGGTGAGGTCAGCCGTTCGTTCGACTTCGCATCATAGTAGGGGACCGCCTGCTTATCTGTACAGCCTCGCGAAGTCTCTTAGTAGCCGCGTCAACTCTTTGCTTTTCTCTGCTCTGAAATGAACAAACAATAATTGATATGTAAGTATTATATTAAAAAAAAAAAAGCATTTAACTAATGCTTAAAAAAATTAAATCATAACCTAGATGTTTAAATCTAAATAAAAGTTTTACTAGAAAAAGATCCACGCGGACCAGGCAGCGGGCGGGACTCGAACCCGCACCCTTCGCAATCCGGGCGAATGCACTGACCAATTATGCTACCACAGCCCTGATGGCCGCGTCGAAATTTTCCTAGCCTTAAGCTGCAAGACAGCGCCATCACTTCGCATTTTTTTCTAGTAAAACTTTTCTTTAGAATTAAAATTAAATGTGTTAATAAAAACAGAAAATGTGTCTCTCGAATATTATATTAAAAATGTATTTATATTAAGAAAATGTTCTTTGTTATTTGATAATCCTAAAATATATACATTACCCTAACCGTAAAATGTAAACTTTTAAAAACTAATGGTCAATTCATTCTAGCGCAGTAGAAGCGTATCAAAGCGTTAAAGAATAGAATTCGCTGATTATCATCCCGGAAGGAATGTGTGCATTAAGTGGCAGAGATAAGGCTGATTTTGCTTTGTTACGTTTTGGAATGACGCTTCGACTTTGCTATCGACTAGCCACAGGCTCTTTCATGGCACTATTTTGCGTCATCCATATTACTTGGAACCACCGAAGTCTACATCATCATCATCCTATTAATGTTCCCACTGCTGGGGCACAGGCCTTCCCTTTGGATGCAATAGGGAGATTGGGTCATGACCCACCACGCGGACCCAGTGCGGATTAGCAGGTGCTAACGACTGCAGATGCAGCCGGGACAGGACAAACACGGAGGAACACGAGATAGAAGATTTTTGGTCAACCATCCAATGACCGACCACTGAGAAAGTTGCTTAACTTCAACGATCGCAGCCGAACGCGCTAACCATCTGCGCCATCGAGTTCCTCCGAAGTCTACAACAGTTCGTTTTCAGAGATCTTTTATTCCACGGTCAATAAAATTATGGAATGAGCTCTCCTCTACGATGTCCCCTCAGTACTATATAATGGTCCTCTTTCAGAGAGGCTGAAACAGAGTGTTTTACGAAACGCAGCGGCATGTCTACTTTACATCAGGTGGCCAGGCCGCTCGTTTTCGTTCGAAGGACATAAATAAGTGTCGTCTAGGGATGCCCGAAAGAAGCGAAGTAAGGTTAAGGTAATGGTAATAACACGTCGTTGAAAGGTGTTAACAATTATGCTAACCATCTTATAACATCAACGATATTAAATACCCTAAATACACCACGAGCGCTCAAAATATGTCCCAATCAAGAAGTGCTTGAACTCCACTCAAGCGCGCGGACCGTTACAAAGACAAGATGCCACAGAGCACCGTGAAAAAATACGAAAATAATACTTAGAGTATATTTGTTTCTTAGGTTTTCACGCACATCACTAATTATGTCCCATGTCTCACTCATGTCTATGCACGAATTTATTATCTAATTTCATTAATAAAGTACTTTATTTAATTTTTTTTTAATTTTTGAGTTTATATATTTGGCCCTAACTACCGTAAACTACCATCGGTTCCAAAATTGGGAGACCTTTCTGAGAAGAACCAACTCAGAGGCTTTCTATCTCCTTCTTATGTTAAATCATGCAAACAAAAAGAACTAATAGTATCTGTTGGTCAAACACCACACACACTGCAAGACCAACAGATACTATTAGTTCTTTTTGTTTGCATGATTTAACATAAGAAGGAGATAGAAAGCCTCTGTGAGTTTGTTTCGTCTCTCTCGTGCATAGACAATAAAATTTTAAAATCTTCCAATGAAATATCCGAACGTTCAATAAAAAGTCTTTCGAAGGTAGCTCGACAAAGTAAATAAAATCATTAGTCTGACGACGTTGACCTGAAAAGGCTGCGAAACGTCATAAACAAATAAAATAAGTACATCTTACTCGTTGAAAAGTGTTTTATTTAATACTTAGAGTACGAAAAGTGTCATTTTTTCGACAGGTATATATATATATAATCAATGTTTGTTAATTTAACGCATTTAAAGTAAATTTTGTTCTAATACTTACTATAAACTGATTTAATATAAAATATTTTTGATATTCAAATGCATGGTCGGTTTTATGTTGCCGTTTAGCCGTCTCTTTTCCTCGCGGTCCGTACCTGCTATATTGCTTCAGCGCATTCAGAATTGCGAATAAGGTCTACATTCTTCCGCATACAGCTAAAAGTCGTAAAATTTTACGAGAATCCATTTCTAACTATCAGAAATCTTTGACGCATGTGTTTTAATTACGACCTTATACAGTATGTATTAAAGGTGACTTTCAATGTTTAAATAATGGCTTATATTGTTTTTGACTACGCGATCATCTTACGGGGCTTCGTGGATCATCTAATATACCTTTTGGACAGGTTTCGATTCGATTTTGTTCGTGTTAGTGTATCTAGGGTATTTAATATCGTTGTATAACATAAAATAAATAAGTAAAAACCAGCCTTCTTGCATTGACGTAAGTTAACATATTGTCACAAACGCTCTCGAAAAGTAACCGCGAAAGTGCTAGAGATCGAATTTGCTAGATCACCGCGGGTCGCGATAGAGGTCGACTAATGCGGCGCATTCTAAAATGAGCCTTATGCAGTGCGGCGTAAGGGTGAAAGCGCAACGACATCTGCACTTGTTTACAAGTTATGCGTGTTACCTGCGCAGGTATAAGTAGGTATTTCGTACTCGCGGGTGCTAGGTAATTCTCAATTTAACAGGTACTTTCTAGAATGCGTCGATCGGCGTATATAAGCGCGATTGGAGCCGCGATGAGACAGTTGAGTTTCAACAGCGATTTCGGAGCGAATCCAAAGGCGATCAAAGTGCAACAAAAGTGTTCAAGTGCGATAGTTTAGAGACTTATATAGAGAAATACAGTGTTTAGTGAGTGTTTTGTAATTATCATTGTGTGTTAATTGTGTGGTGAATAAAGTACTGTCAGGCGTGAACTGGCATATAAATTCGAACCCCATCCCGACACGTAACAATATGTTTTTTTTACTACGGTAAATAACGTATTCACGCAACAAACGGTTGATATAAAATAGGTACTATTTTTACAAATCATGATAGTAGTTCTGACAAAATATACTAGATGGCTCCGTTAATTTGTGTGTAACGGAAAAATATGACGTTCAGCATGGATAATGTGATGATCTTCGTGGCCGAGAGGTTTGTACGCCGGGTTTCATGGTGTCGCCGACTCGAGGTCCTGGGTTCAAATACCGGTGGGGGTTGTGGTGAATCACGTCTTCTACGTGTTGATAACACTTCCCTGATATGATTAGGTATCTTAGCCCTAAGTACGTAATTAACGTAGACTAAGTAGTATACAAGATGTAGGATAACTTAATAAAATGTGGATTCCACACTGAACGCTCGTCGTGATTTCTCCCGTGAGTCACTTACACCCCATCACCACAGGGCAGATGTTTGTGTGATGAATACGAGCATTTGTTCTACATGCTTTTAATTTGGCAAGACGAAAATTAGGTAATAGGGATGATGACGGGGTACAGTAAACGAAATTCTATTTAGTCCGCCAGTTAGATGGTCAAAAAATAATGTACACGTATTTTTTCTTTGGGCGATCAACCAAAAAATTACAAAGTTATAGCGCGTCAAAGTTTGGGAGTGGGGGTTCGTGACGTCACTTGTGAGTGAATTTTCGCTTAAAAGTGTACTCAAACGTGACGTCGTGCGACTTTTCAAATCAATACGTCTCTGCAATGTTTATATTATGTGAAAAAAGAAAAAATACGTGTCCAATACTTTTCGATAATCTACCTGATGAACGGAGAAAAAAAAAATAGTCATCATTCTTATTGTCGGGCGCGGCAGGCGCCGCAGCGCCCCCTGCAGCCAGTCCTGGTGCTGGGGCTGGGGCTGGGGCTGGACACACACACAGGTACCTGCCGGCCGCGTGATGGAACGCAGCGGCCTGGTGCGGCGTGGGCGCGGCGCGGGCGCGGGGCGAGGGCGGGCGCGGCAGGCGCCGCAGCGCCCCCTGCAGCCAGTCCTGGTGCTGGGGCTGGGGCTGGGGCTGGGGCTGGGGCTGGACACACACACAGGTACCTGCCGGCCGCGTGATGGAACGCAGCGGCCTGGTGCGGCGTGGGCGCGGCGCGGGCGCGGGGCGAGGGCGGGCGCGGCAGGCGCCGCAGCGCCCCCTGCAGCCAGTCCTGGTGCTGGGGCTGGGGCTGGGGCTGGGGCTGGACACACACACAGGTACCTGCCGGCCGCGTGATGGAACGCAGCGGCCTGGTGCGGCGTGGGCGCGGCGCGGGCGCGGGGCGAGGGCGGGCGCGGCAGGCGCCGCAGCGCCCCCTGCAGCCAGTCCTGGTGCTGGGGCTGGGGCTGGGGCTGGGGCTGGGGCTGGACACACACACAGGTACCTGCCGGCCGCGTGATGGAACGCAGCGGCCTGGTGCGGCGTGGGCGCGGCGCGGGCGCGGGGCGAGGGCGGGCGCGGCAGGCGCCGCAGCGCCCCCTGCAGCCAGTCCTGGTGCTGGGGCTGGGGCTGGGGCTGGGGCTGGACACACACACAGGTACCTGCCGGCCGCGTGATGGAACGCAGCGGCCTGGTGCGGCGTGGGCGCGGCGCGGGCGCGGGGCGAGGGCGGGCGCGGCAGGCGCCGCAGCGCCCCCTGCAGCCAGTCCTGGTGCTGGGGCTGGGGCTGGGGCTGGGGCTGGGGCTGGACACACACACAGGTACCTGCCGGCCGCGTGATGGAACGCAGCGGCCTGGTGCGGCGTGGGCGCGGCGCGGGCGCGGGGCGAGGGCGGGCGCGGCAGGCGCCGCAGCGCCCCCTGCAGCCAGTCCTGGTGCTGGGGCTGGGGCTGGGGCTGGGGCTGGACACACACACAGGTACCTGCCGGCCGCGTGATGGAACGCAGCGGCCTGGTGCGGCGTGGGCGCGGCGCGGGCGCGGGGCGAGGGCGGGCGCGGCAGGCGCCGCAGCGCCCCCTGCAGCCAGTCCTGGTGCTGGGGCTGGGGCTGGGGCTGGGGCTGGACACACACACAGGTACCTGCCGGCCGCGTGATGGAACGCAGCGGCCTGGTGCGGCGTGGGCGCGGCGCGGGCGCGGGGCGAGGGCGGGCGCGGCAGGCGCCGCAGCGCCCCCTGCAGCCAGTCCTGGTGCTGGGGCTGGGGCTGGGGCTGGGGCTGGACACACACACAGGTACCTGCCGGCCGCGTGATGGAACGCAGCGGCCTGGTGCGGCGTGGGCGCGGCGCGGGCGCGGGGCGAGGGCGGGCGCGGCAGGCGCCGCAGCGCCCCCTGCAGCCAGTCCTGGTGCTGGGGCTGGGGCTGGGGCTGGGGCTGGACACACACACAGGTACCTGCCGGCCGCGTGATGGAACGCAGCGGCCTGGTGCGGCGTGGGCGCGGCGCGGGCGCGGGGCGAGGGCGGGCGCGGCAGGCGCCGCAGCGCCCCCTGCAGCCAGTCCTGGTGCTGGGGCTGGGGCTGGGGCTGGGGCTGGGGCTGGACACACACACAGGTACCTGCCGGCCGCGTGATGGAACGCAGCGGCCTGGTGCGGCGTGGGCGCGGCGCGGGCGCGGGGCGAGGGCGGGCGCGGCAGGCGCCGCAGCGCCCCCTGCAGCCAGTCCTGGTGCTGGGGCTGGGGCTGGGGCTGGGGCTGGACACACACACAGGTACCTGCCGGCCGCGTGATGGAACGCAGCGGCCTGGTGCGGCGTGGGCGCGGCGCGGGCGCGGGGCGAGGGCGGGCGCGGCAGGCGCCGCAGCGCCCCCTGCAGCCAGTCCTGGTGCTGGGGCTGGGGCTGGGGCTGGGGCTGGGGCTGGACACACACACAGGTACCTGCCGGCCGCGTGATGGAACGCAGCGGCCTGGTGCGGCGTGGGCGCGGCGCGGGCGCGGGGCGAGGGCGGGCGCGGCAGGCGCCGCAGCGCCCCCTGCAGCCAGTCCTGGTGCTGGGGCTGGGGCTGGGGCTGGGGCTGGGGCTGGGGCTGGACACACACACAGGTACCTGCCGGCCGCGTGATGGAACGCAGCGGCCTGGTGCGGCGTGGGCGCGGCGCGGGCGCGGGGCGAGGGCGGGCGCGGCAGGCGCCGCAGCGCCCCCTGCAGCCAGTCCTGGTGCTCCCGGCGCTGGTACACCACCAGCTCCAGCATGGCGTCCGCCACCTCGGCGATCATGTACGCGTGCAGGTGCAGCACGCACGCTTCCAGCAGCGCGTACGTTAGCTCCTCGCCGTGCCGCTGTAAAGCTTCGCTCGCTAGTTCTGTCGCAAAATTGAATTATCTGAGCAATTTCATTAAACTTTCATTTACCAAAATACTTGTAAACACCGTTAGATTTCTGAATTTAATCAAATTTAATTTGTTTCTTTGTTAATCAACATTTTTTAGTGATACTTAGAATATCACCACACTCAACGCTGTTTTTAATATGTTTTTTATATATAAGTGGTAAACGGTGCTGGTTTCAAAGTTATGTATCTAATCACCAATACTGAATTATTATGTACTTACTTTGTAACTGTTTGTTTACCCAAAGAAATAGAAAAAAAAAAAAACTTAAAGCTAAATTGAACATCAAAGTTGACAAATTTAAATTTGGATTTTGAAAGTCATGGCAGAATCGACATCGTTTTCTAAGTGATAAATGTTATGCTGTGAGGTTATCGAAATCCGACACCTACATGATTCCATGTTTCTTTTTGATTTTAATAAAAACTAAAAAACAAAGAAAGTTAATACAATAATTTTCATTTTATCACATCTAATCGAATATAAGTAGATCACCAGCTCAGACATAGCATCCACTGCGTTACATACGAGTGCAATTATTCACTATGTAAAAACATGTAAAAGTGTAATTATGAAAATTCAATCCTTTAGAAAAATTTAAAAATGGTGAAATCTTTTACAGAAAATACGTTTTTAACGTTTCTCCAATACTGTCTTGTTGTTCTTGTATGTTAATGAAAAAACGTACTTTTCTTACATATTCATTGTTGCATTTACTTTTCAACACCCACCATAAGAAAATAAACAGTGTCCACCGCGGGAGAACACTTTTAAAGCTCGAGCGACGTACTTTGAGTCTCCCGCTGTATATATAGCTATGTTATAAATTAAAAACACATACACCTTTAAAATAGTTGTTCATCCGTTTTAATAATCCGTTCAGCCGTTTTTGCGTGTTTGACTTACAACAAAACTTTCATATTTATAATATTAGTATTTTTTTTATAGATAGGTCCGACAAATGACACCACCCCACCTGATGTTAAGTGAAGGTGAAGTCCAGACGCGAAGATAGCTGATACTGTAGTTCTAACTGCCACACCAGCCATCCTCAGCCTGCCGGCCTGCATGTTGCTTCTTCACGCCTCTTTTAAAGGATCCCAGGTTGTAAGAGGGAGGGAACACGAGAGCGGGCAGAGCATTCCATTTACGGATAGTGCGACAAAGAAATGAGTCACCAAATATCTTTGTACGCATTGGAATTGTGGCCACAGTAAGACGGTGACAACGTAGATAGATCACAAAATGTAACCATACTTACTTTTAACTTCCTCCTTCCCGCGGACGTTATTGGCAGCAGAACCCAAGTCGTACAAGAACTTCATAACGGAAGAGTTGGCTTCACGATGATCCAGTTTACTCGCCAACCGGGCACATTCCACCACCGCGTCTAACGCGCCGCACGATAGAAAATCTAGAGGGATTCGCTGGAGGAACCTGGAGATAGTTTATTTATTTATTTAAGGATACCCAACAATATATAACCAATACAAGATAAAAAGATGCAAGCGTCGGCGATAATTAGATGCTATCTTAACTAAAGGTCACCACCGTATGCATTACAAAACACGGCATTGAACATGATTCTGCATAATCTTCAGTGAAATCAGTATGACCTAAATGAATATTTTAATTTTAAGTAAAATGACATTATAGAATAATCAATATGACGACGCATACATGACATATCTACAAAATTCCATTTGACATAGGTTATAATTAAAGGTACTAATAAATTTAATAAGTATGTAGTAAATAGTATATTCAATTCAATTTTTTTAATATTATTTTTTATGTAATTTTAAAATGAAATTTTGTACGCCAAACTTTGGTAAAACATGCTGTCCTATCACTTGTACCACCTGTAATTACCATGTTTTGAGCAAATAAAAATTCTTATTCTAAGAAAACAATAATCTAAATATACCCCACAATACAAATAAAAATTATTTAATTTAAAAATAACTGCACTGTAATGTCCTGACTTGAAATTATTGCAATCTAAAATAATCAAAATAACGATAGTGATATTATCATATCAAAAAAATTCAAAATAATTTTATAAAAATACAATAAAGTTAAACCATGAAAATAACACAAAAATGTATATCTTTAAAGGCATGAGCAAAATAGGAATTATTTTGAGTATGCGGGCTTCAACTTAAACCACATCAGGTATGGTCAAACGCACTTGAATCTTTTATAAAAACACTAGCACAAAAATCTAAGTTTGCCGAAACTAATCTTGTTATTGTCGACACTTCATATGTCAGGTTGTCCTTATCATACTCTATAGGGAAGGAAAAGGAGAGAACTTTGTCAATTTTAAAAGTAGCAAATACAAATATAAAAAGTGCTGGCGAAAGAAATCAAAGTTAACAGCTAAGAGACCCATCAATATATTAAAATCGAAACCTACACAGCTAACATCGTTAACAATTTCACGGGATAAGGGATTAGACTCGAGAGGCCCAAGCACGAGCTTTGACAGATCCGTAATCGTATCGTTATCGTCAAATTTTGAATGGAAAGAGCCAGTTTGTTCTTACGTCCGATAGGGGCGCTGCTAAGTTTCCATATAAACTTTGACGAAGCGATAAGTTGCGGAGCTGTCAAAGTTCGTGCTTCGGTCTCAGGCCGGAAACGTAAGGTCAAAGGGTTAACTCCGCCAATACTTACTTACCACGTGAGGTAATTTATTACACAATGCATAAAAAATAAGATCATCCAAATAGAATTAAAAATAAAAATTAATAAGAATTACGTCAAATTTTCTCATAATGCATTAATACGGTATAAATAGCATTTTGTAGTCCATATGACATTATTGAAAAATAAAAGAATCCAAATATTCACAACTACACCAAAACAAACACTGACAAAACATTAACAACGTTATCTGGTTATTACCTGATGCAAAGTCGAAATAGGTCGTCGACCGTATCCGGATTGTCTTGAAGTCCATTAGGCTGTTGTAGCAGCTGGAAAGCTTTAGGCATCAGCGCTTGCAACATGGCTATAAGATCTGGCACACACTCCGGCGTCGAAGCGAGCTCGTCGAGTAGAACTGATCCTAAGTAGAGTAAACAGGAGTGGGCTCTGGCTTCGTACAACGTCGCCAGAGTCTGTGCTAACGGTTGTAACAGTCCGCTCGCGTGTTTTCCTGTACATCGGATGGCAAATCGGAGCGCTCGACACGACCTTTCCATCACTCGGCTGTCGGCTGCGTATCTGTGAATAATCAGACATTGATATTGTCTTAAACTTCCATGGTCACTAACATTATGGTATTGAGGGTTTTATGGCATGACGGGCGCCAGGCGGCAGCACTGAGACGAAAGGTCTACTCATTTATCAAATCACGCATGACATCATAGTCTATGGATAAATTTTTCACATGACACAGTGGCGCCAACTGGTGGCGTAAATATAGCTATAGGAAAAGCTACCACTTGAGCACTTTGATTTTGAGTTACCCGTGATCACGGCACTTGCAATAGTGCCGAAATATCGGCAACTAGCAAAAAAAGGTACATTGTAAAATGGTAGCAATCCCGCTTATAATTGACGTAATCTTAATATTATCACAATGAATGTAGTACAGGTATTGGGATTTGAAAAGCTTGCGATATTTGTTAAAGGAACTTTTGAAGGCAATACACGTGTCTCGTCAAGATCTATCGCCTAGAAACCTCGCAATGCTTAATACTGTTTTTAAATGGAACTTAACTAATTCGATAATTTAATGGTAGTGGCATGTATACCGGTCTGCAGGATATCGCCTGCTGTGAGGTCAACACAAAAAAGATTTTTCAATTCGAACCATTAGTTCCTGATTTTGGATTTGCCGCTCGAATTGGAGCGCCCTTCTGGGGAAGTAACCTCTATCTTACAGAAGACACACAGTAAAATAACACTACCTTTTGGTGCTTTTGTGTTTCTGTCGGAAAGTTTCCAGGACACAACGGGGTAGTGAATTATTAGGTCAGGGTAGGCAAGGGTGCTAGTGCTATTTTTCGTATCCCAAGCTTTTATAGGCTATGGTGGCCGTTTACCATCAGGCAGACCATACGCTTGTTTGCTACCTTTTTAACATGTTAGTTTCAACAGCGATTTGGAACGATTATCAAGGCGATCAAAGTGCAAGTGAAGTATTTGTGTGCAATTGTGTTTGTGTAGAGTGAGTGTAGTATCGTGTGGTGAATAAAGAATTTTTAAGCGTGGACTGGCGTTATTCATCCTGAGCCTTAACAATACTAACTATAAATTCGAATCCCATCCCGGCAGTGACAATATCATATAGTGAGTGTAGTATTGTGAGTTTTTCATAGAACTGTGTGTTAATTAAAGAACTCCACTCCCACGTCGCGGAACATCGCGGCCAGCGCGGGCAGCCCCGACACCGGGTCCTGATGTAGTGCCAGTGTATCACACTCACTTGTGCATCACGTCCCTCAGCACGGGCCAGGCGTCGGCCAGCGCGGGCAGGCAGGGGTGCGGCGCGCCCGCAGACTCGACGCCCACGTCGCGGAACAACGCGGCCAGCTTGTCCAGCCCCGACACCGGGTCCCACTCCGTGCCCCGCACCGGCTCGCGGTCGCACTTCACCAGCTCCGAGAGTGTGGCCAGGTGGATGCCCACCGCTTCGCGCATCGCCACGCTCAACTGCGTGGGAGACAAACAAAATAAATAAATATAAATATTTTCAACACTCACACCAATTAGCCTGCCCCAAAGTAAGCACTGTAAGGCTTGTTGTTATGGTATACTAGGGTAACGGATAGAATACATATACAGTACATATATAAGTACATATTAAACATCCATGACTGGAGTACAACTGTTCGTATTCATCACACAAACATCTGCCCCCACCGGGATTCGAACCCGGGGACCTCTCGAGTCGGTGACACCATGAAACCCGGCGAACAAACCACTCGACCACGGAGGTCGTCACTCACACAAATATTTTTAATACTACACACCAGTAATCCTAGCCCCAAAGTGAGAACTGTAACTACTCGGGTAACGGATAGAATACATATACTGAGACCCGAGCACGATTTTGAAAAGCGCCCCCACGTAAGTAAGTATATACTGGCGCCGTGCAAAACAAATTACGATGACGATACGATAACGGACCTGTCTAAATTCATGCTTGGGCCTCTGTTACATATATGAGTATATATTTATATAGAAATACATATAAATATTCATAACTTAGGCACAAATGCTCATATACATCATGCGAACACTTGCCCCACCAGGATTCAAACCACAGATCTCTGAGTAAGCGACGCCTTGAAAACCGGCGTACATACTACTCAAACCACGGTTGTTATAAAGATACAACCCTATTACGTCGCACAGTGTGTGATTTAAGCTGAGTTGCGACCAATATGAATTTTCGGGAATTTTCAACCAACTAAAATAAGTTCTAAAAAAGGTAGAAGACTTTCGTATTTTTTTTGCAACTGAGTCCTCATGAGTTGTACTTTTATGCACAAAATAATTAGCTTTGTAACTTTGATGAAAGTTATGAAAATGTGAAAAAATTACGTTCTGTGAATTATGACTTAAATCTTCAACTTTAAATTAAAAATCTAAACAGGTCCCAGGGCGGCGGCGGCGGGCAGCGGCAGGCGGGCGGCGGCGCGCGACGCCTGTATCTATCTATGGATGGGGCACCTGGGCGGGCGGCAGCGGGCCCAGGGCGGCGGCGAGGGCGCGCGCGAGGGCGGCGGCGGCGGGCAGCGGCAGGCGGGCGGCGGCGCGCGACGCCTGTATCTATCTATGGGTGGGGCACCTGGGCGGGCGGCAGCGGGCCCAGGGCGGCGGCGAGGGCGCGCGCGAGGGCGGCGGCGGCGGGCAGCGGCAGGCGGGCGGCGGCGCGCGACGCCTGTATCTATCTATGGATGGGGCACCTGGGCGGGCGGCAGCGGGCCCAGGGCGGCGGCGAGGGCGCGCGCGAGGGCGGCGGCGGCGGGCAGCGGCAGGCGGGCGGCGGCGCGCGACGCCTGTATCTATCTATGGATGGGGCACCTGGGCGGGCGGCAGCGGGCCCAGGGCGGCGGCGAGGGCGCGCGCGAGGGCGGCGGCGGCGGGCAGCGGCAGGCGGGCGGCGGCGCGCGACGCCTGTATCTATCTATGGGTGGGGCACCTGGGCGGGCGGCAGCGGGCCCAGGGCGGCGGCGAGGGCGCGCGCGAGGGCGGCGGCGGCGGGCAGCGGCAGGCGGGCGGCGGCGCGCGACGCCTGTATCTATCTATGGATGGGGCACCTGGGCGGGCGGCAGCGGGCCCAGGGCGGCGGCGAGGGCGCGCGCGAGGGCGGCGGCGGCGGGCAGCGGCAGGCGGGCGGCGGCGCGCGACGCCTGTATCTATCTATGGGTGGGGCACCTGGGCGGGCGGCAGCGGGCCCAGGGCGGCGGCGAGGGCGCGCGCGAGGGCGGCGGCGGCGGGCAGCGGCAGGCGGGCGGCGGCGCGCGACGCCTGTATCTATCTATGGATGGGGCACCTGGGCGGGCGGCAGCGGGCCCAGGGCGGCGGCGAGGGCGCGCGCGAGGGCGGCGGCGGCGGGCAGCGGCAGGCGGGCGGCGGCGCGCGACGCCTGTATCTATCTATGGATGGGGCACCTGGGCGGGCGGCAGCGGGCCCAGGGCGGCGGCGAGGGCGCGCGCGAGGGCGGCGGCGGCGGGCAGCGGCAGGCGGGCGGCGGCGCGCGACGCCTGTATCTATCTATGGGTGGGGCACCTGGGCGGGCGGCAGCGGGCCCAGGGCGGCGGCGAGGGCGCGCGCGAGGGCGGCGGCGGCGGGCAGCGGCAGGCGGGCGGCGGCGCGCGACGCCTGTATCTATCTATGGGTGGGGCACCTGGGCGGGCGGCAGCGGGCCCAGGGCGGCGGCGAGGGCGCGCGCGAGGGCGGCGGCGGCGGGCAGCGGCAGGCGGGCGGCGGCGCGCGACGCCTGTATCTATCTATGGATGGGGCACCTGGGCGGGCGGCAGCGGGCCCAGGGCGGCGGCGAGGGCGCGCGCGAGGGCGGCGGCGGCGGGCAGCGGCAGGCGGGCGGCGGCGCGCGACGCCTGTATCTATCTATGGGTGGGGCACCTGGGCGGGCGGCAGCGGGCCCAGGGCGGCGGCGAGGGCGCGCGCGAGGGCGGCGGCGGCGGGCAGCGGCAGGCGGGCGGCGGCGCGCGACGCCTGTATCTATCTATGGGTGGGGCACCTGGGCGGGCGGCAGCGGGCCCAGGGCGGCGGCGAGGGCGCGCGCGAGGGCGGCGGCGGCGGGCAGCGGCAGGCGGGCGGCGGCGCGCGACGCCTGTATCTATCTATGGATGGGGCACCTGGGCGGGCGGCAGCGGGCCCAGGGCGGCGGCGAGGGCGCGCGCGAGGGCGGCGGCGGCGGGCAGCGGCAGGCGGGCGGCGGCGCGCGACGCCTGTATCTATCTATGGATGGGGCACCTGGGCGGGCGGCAGCGGGCCCAGGGCGGCGGCGAGGGCGCGCGCGAGGGCGGCGGCGGCGGGCAGCGGCAGGCGGGCGGCGGCGCGCGACGCCTGTATCTATCTATGGATGGGGCACCTGGGCGGGCGGCAGCGGGCCCAGGGCGGCGGCGAGGGCGCGCGCGAGGGCGGCGGCGGCGGGCAGCGGCAGGCGGGCGGCGGCGCGCGACGCCTGTATCTATCTATGGATGGGGCACCTGGGCGGGCGGCAGCGGGCCCAGGGCGGCGGCGAGGGCGCGCGCGAGGGCGGCGGCGGCGGGCAGCGGCAGGCGGGCGGCGGCGCGCGACGCCTGTATCTATCTATGGGTGGGGCACCTGGGCGGGCGGCAGCGGGCCCAGGGCGGCGGCGAGGGCGCGCGCGAGGGCGGCGGCGGCGGGCAGCGGCAGGCGGGCGGCGGCGCGCGACGCCTGTATCTATCTATGGGTGGGGCACCTGGGCGGGCGGCAGCGGGCCCAGGGCGGCGGCGAGGGCGCGCGCGAGGGCGGCGGCGGCGGGCAGCGGCAGGCGGGCGGCGGCGCGCGACGCCTGTATCTATCTATGGATGGGGCACCTGGGCGGGCGGCAGCGGGCCCAGGGCGGCGGCGAGGGCGCGCGCGAGGGCGGCGGCGGCGGGCAGCGGCAGGCGGGCGGCGGCGCGCGACGCCTGCAGCAGCACCCCCGCGTGCACGTGAGCGTGCGAACGACACGCCTTGCAGATGTTCTATAAGGGGACAACGAGTATGATTAGGCGTCGTCCTAATCGGTAACGACCGCACGATGACACGATACGATCTCATCGTTCGATGAAAAATCAAATAGCTATGCTCGTGCGAAGGCTTACGAGCTGTATTAGGACACTTCTAAAGGAATCTTTATATGTTTGATAATCATCACACAACAAGAACGCATCATGTCATCGTGCGATCGTTGCCGATTAAGACGACACCTTATAGTGCGACAAAGATCTTTATGAAAGTGCCGAAAATTATAACCAACGCCGCCTGCTTTGTAAACACCATATTTTGTATGTCATTTACGTTCTGGTGAAGTGTAAATTACTTCTTCTACGTTTTGATAACACTTCCCCGATACGATTAGGTATCTTAGCCCTAAGCATATAGTTAACGTAGAATAAGTAGTACATAAGATGTAGGATAAGTTAATGAATTAACTAAAAAAAGTTTCAACGGTATAGACGCTCTGCTTGATTTATTTAATGAGTGGTGTGCGTGATAACCTAAGAAACAAATATGTCAATATATTGTTGATTCCACACAGAACGCTCGTCGGCATTACTCCCGTGAATCACCCACACCCCATCACCGCAACGTAAACAGCAGCGCCCTCCCCGAACTGTCACTAACATTCATAAACATCCTTGTCGCACTGTAGCTACGATATTACGCTATACATACATGCCCCCCCCTTTTTTTTTAATACGCAGGTAAAAAATCTATTTACAGACGACGGCGCCTTTAACAGGCACACCGCCGAACGGACCTCACACCTGGCTCCCGCAAGTCTTACGAACCCCCTAGTGGCTGCCCACCGAGGAATACATGCCCCCCTAGCATGAGCACAGCGTTATGACATATCGCTCGTTTTTATCACGCCCAATTGTCAAACTACTATGGAGTTTGACATTTTGACGCGATAAAAAACGTGATATAATGTAAATTTTGTTGGTCATGCAACCGGAACTGAAGGAAAACAAGTATGAAGGATAGACACTCAATTCAGATTGCTCATAAAACGCAAAATGTTTATAGAGTCCATAAAAAGTGGATATTCATCATTATGTTGTGTATTTCGTTAAAAAAACTAAATTAAAAACTCTATTTACGCGACAAAATACGATCACGTTTTAAAAAATATGCAAACCCAAGAGATCTTGTGGAACTAAAATGCGCCAGTAGAAGAGTTGAAAAACTTATGAAAAAATGCCATCATGAGTATCTAAATAATATCCAAAATAAAATAACCCGTAATTCCAAAAGTATATGGACATACGTCAAAAATTTGCATGTCTCAGAATTTAAGTGAAGTTCTTTGGGAATTTCAGAACTACCATTCTGAAATTCCTAAAGAACTTCACTTAAATTCTGAGACTGCAAAATCCGGTGACGCAATATGCAATCTGTTTGCGAAACACGTTTCTAGTGTTTACTCTCATAGCAACCGCGGGCAAACAATGGAAAACGCTGTATCTTGTGACATGTACCCGCAGCTCTCTTTGGGTAGCATCAGTATTACAGAACGTATGATAGTGAAAATTATCTCAAGGCTAGATATAAGTAAGGGTGCAGGCCCAGATGGAATTCCTCCTATTTTCATTCAGAAAACCTGTAAATATATCGCGCTGCCTCTAAAGATAATTTTTTCAGCTTCTCTCAATACTTCTGTTTTTCCGGATGCACTGAAAGAAACGAACATAGTTCCAATTTTCAAAAAAGGTGAGAAATATGATATTATTAACTACAGACCTGTGTCAATTTTAAATACTTTTAGCAAGATATTTGAAAAAATCCTTTGTCCTATCTTAAATTCCCACTGCAAAACGTTCCTCAGCGAGAGTCAACATGGCTTTTGTCCGAAAAAAAGTACGGTGACTGTATGTTACACGAATCAGTTAAGCAAACAAATCGACTCCGGTGGTGAGGTGGACTCTATTTACACAGACTTCAGCAGCGCGTTCGACAAGGTGGACCATAATAATTTAATCCATAAGTTAAAACGGTACGGCATTCATGGACCCCTGCTTTTGTGGTTTAAATCGTATTTAAAGCATCGGGTGCTGAGGGTCGTTATTAACGGTTATACATCCAGATCTTTCACAGCAACTTCAGGAGTTCCTCAGGGCTCTATTCTGGGTCCTGTGCTCTTTCTAATTTTTGTTAATGACATACCTGAAATAGTTAAACATAGCAAATGCTCGATATTTGCTGATGATTTGAAATTATATCGGCCAATTAAGAGTCAAGATGATGTAAATTTATTACAGAATGATCTGGATGCTATACAAGAATGGTACCATTCCAATAAAATGGTACTCAATGCGGATAAATGTTTTGTAATTAAGTTTACTAAAAATAAAATTATTCACACACCTACATACTCAATTGACTCCAAGCAACTATCTCAGGTCAAAGCCGTTCGTGATCTGGGTGTCATACTGGATGAAAAACTCACTTTTGTAAACCACGTTGACGTTATTATTAATAAAGCGTGGAGAATGTTGGGTTTTTTGAAAAGGATTTGCAGGGATTTTCATAATTCAACTGCAATTTTGTGCTTGTACAGTTCTCTCGTTCGTACTGTTTTGGAATATGCCTCTTGCGTATGGAATCCACAGTACAAAATTCATAAAGAAAGAATAGAACGAATCCAGCGCCAGTTCACAAAATTTTTGGCATTCAAAAGTCCTAACTGTCCCTATCGCGCAAATTATGAAAATCGTCTGAAACATTTAAAAATTGACACTCTGGAGAAACGAAGAAAATGTGCCGACATCTTGTTGCTTCATAAGTTGGTTAATGGAAATATTAATGTACCCGATATGCTTGCTGAAATTAATTTCACAGTTCCAAGAAGAATTCCACGTTATCCAATCTTGCCATTTACAAAACCGTTTTTCCGAACCAAGATAGTGGCACCCCTAAGTCGATTGATGGAGACGTGTAACGATAAATCCGATGACATTGATATCTGTCACCTATCTTTCTCAGCATTGAAAAAGAAAATATTCTCGATTGAGTAACAAATACCTCTACGAATAACAATTAACTTACCTCATGTAAATATTTGAAGAATAACTTTAGAGACTAGTATTGTGCCAAAAATGTATAGAAATTGCTGTATGCACCTTAAAAAATAATTCACATAGACTTGTTATACCCATTTGTTTTTCTTTTTATGTAATAATTGTGATATTGTTATTGGTGTGTCTAATAAAATAAATAAATAAATAAATTTTCAAGTTGCCGCGAAAAACGTATCTCTGGCCAATATGGCGTCTCGTTGGTGTACGTCAAACTATACAATCTTATGTCACTTTAAACGGAAGTTTACTTGTCATTTTAGGCTCCACCAATCCCAAGCGTTTTGGGTCACGTGACAAAAAGACAAGAAAACTATCATCTTTATCGTGGGTTTTTAGTAAAATTATGAATATTTTTTCCGTATAAATAGTAAAAACTGCCAATATTCATTCTAAATACAGATGCTAACAATTGGCACTTTATTTTTAATACTGTTATATACCCTATTACAGCAAAGAAATAGTTTTTGCAAATTAATTACTCTTGTTCAATATTAATTTAAGCTCTTCGTATCATTCACTTTTACTATATACCTTTTTATTATGGTGTTATTAAAAAATTGTTTCGCTACAACGGCCGTTTTTGATAAATAAATCAATCAAAAATTAATAAAAAAAAACACATAAATAAAGCTGTCATAATCATGAGAAGCACAGACATTATAAAGGACATGGCTAAGAAACTGCCCTTAACGTGTATAAATATTTCGCACTAGCCCGTAACTTTACAATATTTTTTTATTAATTATTACGTGTTATTTATTCTTTTACACTTTCGTGAAATATTCAAATATTTAGAAGTATAAAAATTGACTTCACGTCTGTTTCAGAAGCAAAATGTTCAGTTTTACAAAATAAATGAAGAATAAATGTACACAAAAAATATTTGTGTAAGTATATCGAAATAAACAATATTATTTTTAAACTCCTTCAAACTAGAAGTCTTACTTGGCCCTACTTTTTATTATAAGAAATCACTGAAGGCCTAAAATAATAGATTTTATAGTTAGGATTTTATTTATTTTTTAAGCATTTAACTGCTAGATGTTTAAATCTAAAGAAAAGTTTACTAGAAAAAAATCCACGCGGACCAGGCAGCGGACGGGACTCGAACCCGCATCCTTCGCTATCCGGGCGAATGCACTGACCATTATGCTACCACGGCCCTATTAGCCGCGTCAAAATTTTCCTAGCCTTAAGCTGCAAGGCAGCGCCATCTCTTCGCATTGTAGGCAACCCACAATGTCAATAATAGAGAACCCACAATAGATTTTATTATTCTGATCAGGCTTGCTGTATGATAATTAATCCTTTAATTTTTGCAAATAGACAAAATAAAACTTCACAGATTTCCTATCAGGCCTACGATAGCAAAGTATTTGTATTTATTTTTGCTGTTAAAGCTTTTTGTGGAGAGTTAATCATAGAAATGGGAAGGAAGATTCTAAGAAAATGCGAAATTGATGACTCTGTAAATAATTGGCAACATCTTTTGTCAACTGTAGTAAGGCAAATGACATAGTATGAGTTTTCATAATTTTCAAAATTGAGACTTTATCAAAAGTTCCTGAGCCTTTTTTTGTAGAAATTATAAATATTCAGCCATTTACCATTGAATATTACTAAGACATTATTTATACATTGCCAGGGCAGTCGCTCATACAAAACTTTACCATGTCTTTTATTAATTTAAAGGTACATCAACAGCATAACATACAAGACATTCATAATACTTTGAGGATGATTTTTACTGTTAAAATATGTTTGCCAATTATAGATATACGCAACATTTCCCATAAACTTAAAATTAAATAATAATAATAAAACCTAATTTGAATTACTTTATATGTTTGTCACCATTTTCTCTGTGGGTATGGCTTTATGCTGAATTTTATACTTCTGTT